ATTAACGAAAAAATATTAATACAATAATTTAATTGTCAAAAAAAAATTTTTTTTTATTTATTTTTTTTTTTTATTTATTATCATTAATTTTTTTAAATTTAACTTCCTTTATTCTATACGGAGGTCGCTTAAGAAGGCCTTTATTATAAAAATTATATAATTATAATAATAAAACTTAATTCAAAAATACTTTGCAGAATATCTTGAATTTTTTATTTAATATTTGCAATTTAACATTTTGTTTTCTATATTTACTGATTCTTAGAGGTAATTTAAATTGTATATTCTTCCCCAGAAATGAGTCATATTAATATCTGTTTTATAAACTAATATCTGTTGTCCAACAGACAGATTGTTATAATACTCAATAAAGAAATTTAAAAAAAAAAATAATAAATAATATATACCTAATCAGAACTACTTTTAATGAATAGGTGATGGATTGTTTAGTAAAATTCATATATCGCTATTAAAAAAATCATTTTTTTTTCCTTAATTTTATTCGGAAGTTGGACCATATCAAAAAAATATGAACTTTTAATATTAAATGCATTATTCCCTCTGCACAAATGAAATATGGAAAGGGCGAAGCTCTAAGTTCTTCTAGGTAACTGGAACTAATTGTTAGTATTTGGTCTCAAAATGAGGGAAAACGCGAAATTGAACCCAAACATTGGAAAAATAAATTAAGCGAACGACAAAGGAAGAGCCAAAATTTCGGAAAAGAAAACAAGGATCAGCATCCGTTATAAGGCCAAACGAATATATAGTAGACAAATGAACAGAATATTTCAAGATGCTGCTAAAAGGAGGTCAAAATGCTTGATCAGTTTGGATGATATTAAGCAGGTTTATTATGGTGAAGACCATTTCATCAGCAAGAAAGATTTGGTTTAAGCAGTTGGCAAGCAGGTCTGGAGGAAGTAAACGAGGTTTATAATGGTGAATACCACTTTATTTTAGATTGCTATTGAAGTTGCACATTGGGACTATCTTCACTTTGAAGCAGGCCATAGAGAGGTCTATCGATAAAGGAAAATAGCTCTCCTCCTGTTTAGTACAATTGCAAAAGATTTTTGAAGGAATCTGAAAGGAAAACGAGCTTTTGTGAAAGACTAGTAGATATTCGATCAATCCAAACTGTGAGGCACTAAGCAGATAGAGAACCATTTTTCTTTCTCTGTGGACTTCTCTATAACCTACCTTAAAGTGAAGACAGTCCCAATTTGCAACTTATGTTCCAATGTGCAACTTGAGTGATTCTTGAGTAGACTTTCTTTGGTACTATAAACAGTAAGTAATCTCGAATAACATTTCCTAGTATCTCATTTCCTGTAAAGGGACAAAACTACAGTCCTTCCATATCATTTTCTAATAAATTTGTAGAGTTTGTACCTACAGCATTTCGGGTTACTCCGTCCAGACCAGCTGACTTGCCAATTGCTTAGAACAAATCTTTCTTGCTGATGAAATGGTCTTCACCATAATAAACCTGCTTAATATCATCCAAACTGATCAAGCATTTTGACCCTCTTTTAGCAGCATCTTGAAATATTCTGTTCATTTGTCTACTATATATTCGTTTAGCCATATAACGGATGCTGATCCTTGTTTTATTTTCCGAAATTTTGGCACTTCCTTTGTCGTTCACTTAATGTATTTTTCCAATGTTTGGGTTCAATTTCGCGTTTTCCCTCATTTTGAGACCAAATACTAACAATCAGTTCCAGTTACCTAGAAGAACTTAGAGCTTCGCCCTTTCCATATTTCATTTGTGCAGAGGGAATAATGCATTTAATATTAAAAGTTCATATTTTTTTGATATGGTCCAACTTCCGAATAAAATTAAGGAAAAAAAAATGATTTTTTTAATAGCGATATATGAATTTTACTAAACAATCCATCACCTATTCATTAAAAGTAGTTCTGATTAGGTATATATTATTTATTATTTTTTTTTTTTAAATTTCTTTATTGAGTATTATAACAATCTGTCTGTTGGACAACAGATATTAGTTTATAAAACAGATATTAATATGACTCATTTCCGGGGAAGAATATACAATTTAAATTACCTCTAAGAATCAGTAAATATAGAAAACAAAATGTTAAATTGCAAATATTAAATAAAAAATTCAAGATATTCTGCAAAGTATTTTTGAATTAAGTTTTATTATTATAATTATATAATTTTTATAATAGAGGCCTTCTTAAGCAACCTCCGTGTAGAATAAAGGAAGTTAAATTTAAAAAAATTAATGATAATAAATAAAAAAAAATAATAAATAAAAAAAATTTTTTTTTGACAATTAAATTATTGTATTATTTTTTCGTTAATATAATCAATATAATATAACAAAAACGTTATTATAGCACTATAACTAAGCCATTTATGAGTACTGAGTGGTGTGGTAGAGGCCTGTAGGCACCCACGCCAGTAGCGCTTTTCTGCCGCTTAAGTACATTTTCTACGAAACTACTTTAAATATTTCAAAAAGTAATCAGTATTTTAGAAAGAGAAATGTATTCTCCAGATGTTTTATTTCAGAACGTTTTGAATTATTGTTGACCGTTTAATTACAAACGACGCCTGATTTTCAACTTGAAGATTTTTTTGTAAAAAAAATTTACTTTACCGATTTTTTTTAATGCCTAAGCCAATTAGTTTTTAATATTTTTTCATGTTTTATTATTCTCTGACTATCTAGCTTTAATAAAAGACCAACTATGATGAAATTAAGCCAAATGCTGATTCTCAGTAACAAAAAAACTAACTAGTCAAAGTCGTCAATCCGCCATGTTTGAACGCCATTTTGGGGCAGTTCGTTCACTTTTTTTTGTGGGAACATTGGCTTTTTTTTAATAAATTGTCACAAGGAACACAACGATATGCAATTTATAGGGATGTGGGGGGGGGGGGGTGCACGGTAAGGGGGTCTGGTCCACCGTGTATTACTCTAAAGCACACACCTTAGTTCTTGTTTTTGTTTTGCAGAGCTCCAGGTCCAATCTCTCTCTCCTCTCTCATTGCTGATGGGACAGTACAAAGAGGTTAGACCTGTTCACAGTAGTACGCCGCATGGATAGAGAGATTCAACGGAGATGGTGCAAAGCTGCATAAACATAACGGAAAATCAATAGCCCAAGATGGTCAAAGATGTAAAAGACTGGTTAAATGGCAAAAAATACAAGATTTGCAAAGCCAACGCTAAATGTTTTTTCAAACAACCATAAAGGTTATAATTGCGTTCCGCATATAATAAAGTTTCATAAACTTAAATTCGTCAAAGAAAAAGAGAGAAAACCAAGAAATTGCTGCATAAAGATTTTTTGTGCTAGGTAGAATAGAGATTTGATCACATTGGCAAAAAAGAAGCCGGTTTTCCGCAGTTAGGCAGCTTGGTCAATAGCTTCAACTTGCTGTTGAGCATCCAAAATCTGGATCACAAGGTCCGAAATTGTTCCCAGGAAGTTATTATAAAATCTCACGCTCCTCCAAGACGCGATGTTGGTTCCCTGAAAATGCACTAGACCTCAATACATTTTTCCAGTGATGGTGAAAGTGGCTTTTACCGTGCCAAGTCCTGGCTAACCAATTTGATGATCCGTAGCGCAATAGAGGGCCGAACTTTAAGGAAAAGTGTTTTATTTAATGTAATAAAACAAACAGTAGTAAAATAACTAAACATTAAACGTTTCTACTGTAATAAATAGCTATAAAGGTCTTTTTCTATCCGTTATTTATTTTATTTTTTTCTAGGAGCTCTAAACTTTCTATTATTATTATACCGATAAATGAGAAACACTTCCCGCTCTCCCTAATCCATTCAAATATAATTAGTCCTTTAAACCCACCTTGTTTTTATAATGGTAGTTACTAAAACATTTCTTATCACATTTTTAACCAATCTATATCTTCAAACAGACAAGTATAAGAATATCCAAACTTATTGCAATTTAACAATAAAGAATAATAATAACAATACGGCATAGCTAACCCAAACATCCGACGTTAATAAAAACAAACTGTTTTTCCACTCAACACTTGGTCTGTCATAAGCAACTCCCCAGATCTTGCTGGGTGTCTTTCTCTCGACAACAGCTTCGGGAATACGCCCTGACATTCGTGACATGCGTCGAATGTTCTAACAGTATTTTTCAAAGATATTACATCGAGTGATATCCTTCGACCATCCCAATATATCTTTTTTCCATTCCTTGGCATCTTATTACATATATATAGGTAAGTGGCATTAAAAGAATAATTTCAAGATATCTGAGATTAGGTGGAACAAATTAAATATGCAAATACTTTTATAGCTAATATACTTGAAATTGTTTAGCGATTAAGAGATTCAAATTCAATTATGAAATAAATTAAATAACGAAAACAAACTTCGAGACTGACACAGATACAGAGACAGACTCAGATTGACAGACATAGACACAGAAAGAGACAGTAAGAGACAGACACAGTGATACATGCACAGCGACTGTTCGCAATCCTAATTTCTTCAGACACAAACAGACAAAGAGAGAATTAGACACAGACAAAGATAGAGTTAAACACAAATGACACAGAGACAGACTCAATAGACATAGACCGAAACAGGCATAGGTAGACACGGTCAGAATAAAAGAGACAGACACAGACATACAAGCAGACACGGTCAGAAAGATAGACTCCCAGACCATTCTGCGTGACTTAGTTTTTTGGGCTCAGGGCACCTCAAAACGTGTTTCTATTGAAAATTCAGATTCGAAAATCTTCGCGATCACAATACCACAAAATATCTGAGATTAGATGGAACAAATTAAATATACAAATATTTGTCATCTAACATACTTCGAACTGATTGGCGATTAAGAGATTCAGCTTTTGAAATTCAATTATAAAATAAATTAAACATTGAAAATAAAGTTCTATTACTTTATTTGAAAGTCATTGGTTATTTTGTTTTATTTTGAATTTACTTATCTATTGGACTTTTTAAATCCAAAGAGAAACCGCTATGTGAAGTCCTTTGTTTCATAACCAGTCCTGTGAGAACCTCACCTCGCAGTTGAAGTGAAAATAGTAAATAATATATAAAATGTCAAAGTCCGTCGACATGGAATTGAAAAAAGTAAGCACTTCATTGAATTTTGATGCAAATATTATTTTTATTTCGTATTTACTGAGCGATATAATTATGAACCATTTTAGGCCTTTACAGACCTTCAGCACATGATGCTTGAGACCACACAGAAATTAAAATTAGCAGATGTACAGATAGAATCTCTAAAGAGGGCTAAACAACGCGCAGAGCTCACCTCTCGTGAAATTAAGGTAAAGATCGCAACAATTGTCTTGTAAAGGTATTAATTATACTGAAAGATTAAGTTTTGTTTTTATCCTCTTAATGGAATTTCAAATCAATTAATATGAAGAATAGGTCTTATAAGAACTGTAAAACACCCTACTTTTTTTTTATGATAATGAAATTAGGAACATGAACATATGAAACAATAAATTTCCAAAACCTGGTTGTTCTTTTTTTGGCCACCTTCAATACTGTTACATTTATTCTTTACCATTATTGAATTTGTTCATCATTATGTTCAATATTTATTGTAAGCTTTGACTGGCTTTAAATACTTAGTTTCAGTGTTATTTAGGGTTTATTTCTTACAGTTCAAATTACTTATTCCATTTATTTTCTCGTATTGAATAAAACATATCATTACTTAATGATTTAGGTTTAGGGATGTAAAGAAAAATCTGTATACATTAAAATGCATGCATTAAAGTAGATAATAATGACAAGACTTGTCAGAAATAAATTTTATAAAGATTGTGCAATTTATCAATTTTAAAGTGTCTTTAAGATTTAAAATAAAAAATATTAAGTTAATTCAATAGATGGTAATCATAATAGTTGATGTGTATGAGGAGGTTGGAGTCCCATGTTTTTAAGACTCTGCTTTTACATACCGACTTAAAATCAATATCAAAGTAAAAAAAAAGCCCAAATTTGAATATCTAAAAAAAAAAATAATTAATAACTTAACTGTATTCAATGTTTTGAAAGAAGACAAGATCACTTAGACCCTAAAATACATATTAATGAGTATTGTTTTTATGTTATTTCATTTCAGATCAGTGTTACGTGTCTATTTTTCAAGATAATGATTAATAATAGCAAATAGTTCAAGGTTTTGAAAAGTGGTTATTTGTTACAATTGTTTGAATGTTTACTGAAGAACTTTACATTTCATCCATGTATATTGAAGAAAAATGGATTGTTATTTTATTCACTTATATTTCATTAATGCTATACCCAAAATTGAAATCCCATGTACATACCACCAGTTAACTTTAATCGTTTTAGTTCTATTATAATATCTCTTCTGTCTTTTAAGTTGAGTTTTATTGATCTATTATGTTCTCTGCAGTCTCTTTCAGATGACACCAAAACCTATGAATCTGTTGGAAGAATGTTCATCTTAACACCTGTATCAACCGTATTACAAAATCTCGGTGCTAAATCTGTTACTTGTTCTGAAAAAATTAAAACCTTGGAGGTATGATTTTATGTTTTATGAGTTATTTAATGTCTTCAGATTACTGTATTATGATTCATTATATCATTTTTAGGGTAATAAATCTTATCTGGAAAAGACTTTGAAGGAAAGCGAGAATAATCTCCGAGAAATGGTTCAGCAGAGGAAGGAACGAGCTGAAAAATAATTTATCGATGGCTTTCTTTTTCTAATTTATATTCGTGCTAAATCTTTGTTAAAAATTTTTATTTAACCGTATTAATTAAAGTATTTTACTTATATATTTTTTTAAATATTCTCCAAATCCACTCATATATGAATAGTTTTACATGAATCAGTTCTCAACACCAGAATTCTTAATATATGACTTGGTCTCTTTTTATTTATTTATTTTTTTAGAATTATTTTAAGTATTGGGTTGGCAAATAAGTCCTTTAGTTTTTTAGGATGAAATATAACTCAATGTATTATAGACATAAAATTTATTTTGAATCTACAATATATTGACCATTATTTAATATGACTTTTTCCCATCTTTCCACGAACTGCATAATGCCATGTTCATAGAATGTCCAGAGTTTATTGTTAAAAAACTGTTCCAAGTGATTTTTGATGTCCTCTTCCTTTTGGAATTTCTTTCCATTCATGGAGTTCGGCAGAGACCAGAATAAGTGGTAGTCACTTGGAAGTAGATCTGGTGAATAGGGAGGGTGGGGCAAAAGGTCCCATTCAAGGCTTAATAATTTATTGTGAGTGACCAATGAGGTGTGGGTCCTAGCATTGTCTTGTTGGAACACAACATCCTTCCGATCATTCATAACTCTTCAGGACATTCTCCAAATTCGATGATTCTATATCTGTTGGAAAGCTGAATTATTGCTCTTCAAAGCTGATTGAATGGTTTTTTATTTAATGCCTACGTAAGGAATAAATAAACAAAAACTCTGTATATGTTTTTATTTTTTATCTCTATTCATAGTTTGTTTACGAAGGTCCTGTTGATGTCATTTTGTGTAGTTTATGTGACACTAGATTTCTTGTAGATAGTTGAAATTATAACATTTTTTGTGATTTTTGAAAAAAATCATGTGAGGGACCCAAACATTAAGTCTAGAAACATAGTCGAGCTCGTGCAGGTTTTCTGCGCTTGTGTGCGACACATTTAAGGCCATAGCAATCTCTCGCATTGTTTGGGTGGGAACAACAATGGCCTTATAACATTGCTTGTTTCAATTACATGTAAACGACCAGACCGTTGAGCATCATTGATGTAAAAGTTTCCTGAATGAAATTTGGCAAACCAATTTTGATAGGTGCATTCGGTGAAGGCGTCATCCCCATGAACACTGGTATTTTTCCTATGAGCTTCTGCAGCACGCTTACCTTTCTTTGCTATTTACAGTGAAATAGCAAACACAATATTAAACTAGTTTTAACAAGAATTAACAGATATAGTTGTCATATTACAAACAGGATAAATAATCCAACTTAAGTGATTAGGACTTTTTTGCCAACCGAATATTATCAGTTTCAATGCTTCTCCCAGAAGTCTTCCAAGCCTTATTCAACTATGTTTGTCCTCAAAGAGTGCAGAACCTGAAGGACATCCTTAGTGTCATTACGAACTTCATCTGATTTGGAGAATACTCTACATTCAAGCCTACGTCTGATTGTGGCTAGTTCTTACTTTTTAGGTTGTTTATATTCCGGCCTCATAAGAAAGCATCTTCTACATTATAATATGGGTATATAGTTCCTCCAAATAAATTACTTATACCGTATTGCTTCGTGTTCACACGATTGAGGGTAATTTTGAGTTGCAAAGTGATTTATCACAAAATTTAAATAAAAATCATAGGTAGTTTTGAGCTATCATTTATGGTTGCAGAATGAATAAATAAAAAATTGATTAAATGTTCTTTTGAACTTTACTCTTGTAATAAATTAATGCTATGCCATTAGCAAGAAAAAAAACGGACTAAAAATTAATTATGAAAATAAATTCACCCCAAGGCTTAATACAATAATAAAATATAGTTAACTTTAGTCTAGACATTTTTCACTGTAAGTTGAAAGTTTTTTTGTTTTTTTTTAATTCTTATATGCCATGTGTTCATAATCTATCATACATTCCTCAGATCAATCTGTGTGTATGCTGCTTATATATTCACTTTTGTTTAGTGCATTAATGATGAAAAGTCATTTATGTATTAATGATAAGTGATGTTCAAGAGGTGCTCGATTAAAGATTTATAGAAAGAACAGTTTTATTGAGCTTGAACCATTCAAAAGAGAAATGGAGATGTGTAGTGGGATGTCAAAAGGAAATTCCTTCCTACTGAGCCCTGTGAACTCGCTGACTAACAATCTCTAGGCTTGCTGACTAAGAGTCTGTGACTTAATTTTTGAAAGCCATACTCACATAACTAGTTCAACATTAACAGCCATGGATCTTTCTGAAATAAAATCTCATCATCTGAATTGGTTTCTTGTTAAGGTCTCCTGGTGATGACTGCTCCAGGAAATTCAAAGCAAGTTGAAAATTGAGGCGATGGCATTGCCGGGAATAAATTAGGCATGTAGAGTTAGATAATCAACTAATCACTTAAAGGATAATCAGTGTTAATCCGATGGGCAAGCATCCTAGGGAATGGATCGAAATGTAAATGAGGATTGTGTCAAATCCGACCTTAGGGATTTGGATTTTGATGGAGAGGGATTTTAGGCGAGGACTGTTATTGTTATCATCATCAAACTTCTGGATTCGTTCGGCATTTTATTTTATAAATAATTAATATAATATTACATTATAATTTTTTAGATGACAGAACTGAGTTAAAAAAATAATAATCATTAAGATTAAAAAATAATATATTATAAAATGTTATTAATAGTTTACGTAGCTTTTATTAAAATATTTTAAATTCATAACGGCATTGAGTATTAGGTAGTTTTATTTATTTCTTAACTTCAGTCTCTAAGCAATGACTGTATACTTCGGTTGTTAACTCCTGCAATCCAGGTTCAACATCCTCTAATGCTCTTCTGAGCGATTCCTCTACTTCTTTTTTCATATTTTCTTCAATTAACTGAAAAAATAATAAGAATATATATATACAGGATGTTTCAGTTCTTAATGGCCAAGTTGTATTTTTCATTAAATTATGGATTATCTGCAATTTTTTTTTTTTTAATGATTGCCCCATGATCTCCTAATGCAAATATTATAGAACTAGTGTTCGCCCATTGGTCGAAATTCGACCATAGCCATTAAAAATTTGAGGAAACATATAATTAAATAAAAAATAAATAAAGAGTAAATCACGATTCAAAAATCCTCATTTATTAATACAAACAAAATTTCAATTTCAATTAAAAATTGAGTTTAAGCTACTTAAAATTCTTTATAAGTAATACCAAATAGACTCATTCAAAAATATTTAATTTCCATTTTAATTTATGTGTATTATTATCACAATAAATTAATGTTATGATTAAGCAAGTTAAAAATAAATTTAAATTAGCAATTTCAAATCACTTTAAATTCATTTTTATTCAGAACTTCTCTGTAAGCAATGCTCTTTTTAAATGTTCTGTTATTATTTAGTGCATAGCCATGCCCATTGCCATTGACAATATAAATTTCAATATTTTAAATGAACGTGCTCTACTTGCTGCCACATATAATTGTCCATTATTACTGGACGTCGCAATAATATACACATTTTTCCCAAACTTTTACGCTGCTATTTGATTATGGTTATAGCAAATGCAGCTACTAATAGGAACGTTGTTATTTGAAAGTTTAATGTAAGTATTGTGTCAGAAAATGTTAAATTAATTCTTGGCATTAAAATTCTTTAATTTAAAGTAGCCCCCGTTAATACTTCACTCTCATTTGTGTTCCATTAACTAATGCTTGTGAAGTATTTAAGTTAACAATGAGTATCACTATAGAATTTATTTTTTAAATTAAATGATATCTCTTCAAATAATAGTCCCAATTATCTCAGTAAATGAAAAGTTTTCGATTTATCAAAAACCAAAATAAAGGAAATCGAATTTGCAAAAGAAAAAGTACTAAATGTTTAAAATTATATATCTCTGCAACAAATAGTCCGATTTAGATGATTTTTTATTTTGTAGGGAATTCAGGGAGCTTTCAAATAAATATTGGAATTCATCATAAAAATTTATGCAGCTTGTTTTCGGGAAAGTATGTTATATACATAAATTATAAATGTTTCAAGGAGAATACTTTAGCTAAGTTTCATTAAAATCATTAAAGCCGTATTGGCGCTGCAGTCTAAAGTGAATGACGTTTTTCGGCCCCATTTCGAAAGGAAAGACCTGGTGATAATGAAACATATGCAAAAATACTTATAAATATAATTGCGGCGTTGTGTCAAAATTTAAAAGAAATCGGTTCCGAACTTTCGGAGATTAGCCGTTCTGAACGAACTACCATTTATATTTTTATTTACATACTATTTAATATTGTTATTTATTGATAACACGAAAGCTGGTCAATATCTATTAAACAAAAAAAGAAGGAAGAAAATCGGTGAATAATGGAGGAGTAATATATAATGATATAGTTCACATATCTCAACTCTATTCTAAAACAAACCCCAAATAAATTGATAGGCAACTAAAGTTTGTTGAACAAGTAAGTTTTTATAAAAGTGGAATATCTGTAGTATTGTTGTAAGATAATAATAAAAAAATCGGTAATAATCCATGATTTAATGAACAACACAACGGCATAGTTTGGCCACTCAAAAGACCCTTTCAAATGGTTTTGGCAAAAAATAACTCTACTTGTATTTGAAGAATGTTTTTTCTAGTTTACTAATTATGTTATTCCTCCCTATGAAGTAGAAAACGTAACCATCTTAAGAAAAGACAAAATTGGGCTTAACTCCTTTAACATTTGAAATCAACCCATACATCAAGTAAAATTTTTTGAGAGTTTGTCCATTGAGTGCCTATATTCCAATATTATCTGTTGTCATTTTAAATAATTGTTGGTATTTTTCATAGCATTTAGATAAACTAAATGAAATTACAACCAACAGACTCCTAAAGTTGTACGATTTTCGTTTACGAATTATTTGTTTAGCTTACCTTAAAATCCTCTTCAGTCATCAGACCAGCCTTTTGAACATTTTTTCTAAATAAAACTATAGGATCTTTTCTTTTTGATTTTTGTTCTGAATCACTCGAATCATTAAATGAATCTGCACTTGGAGTAACTATTTCAAGAATTATTGGACCTTTTCCTGACACATTATGATTAATTGCAAATTTAGCAGCTTCTCTCACAGTTATAACATCTGTTCCATCTACCTGAATGAATTAATTTAAAATTTATTCTCTCATATACCATATCTAGTTTTTTATTCCATATTTTTTTTGGTTTCTTAAATCTTCATGTTTTAATTATATCAATAATATTGTTTTTGTTTAATATATTACCAGTACTCCTGGTATGTTATTTCCAAGGGTATAGAATTCGGTTGTTTCAACCTTTGAAATTCCAGAAGCTTCTACAGTGCTGTTTGCTAAGCTCAAAGCTTGGCCATTATTTTCACAAACAAATACACAAGGTAGATTCCATAACTTTGCCATATTGAATGTTTCGAAAATCTGTCCTTGCATTGCTGCTCCATCGCCGTAAATTGTGAAACACACTCCGCCCGTCTTTTGATACTTTGAAGCTAGCGCTACTCCGGCACCAAGAGGTACCTGCAGTTGAAAATAAATGCTATATGTCACCTATAAACTGTCACATGGAACTATCAATCGATATAAATTTGAAAAATACCTGAGCACCAACAATCCCATTTCCACCATAAAAATTCTTCCCATACAAATGCATTGAACCTCCTTTGCCGTTAGATCCTCCGGACTGCTTTCCCAACAGTTCCCCAATCACCTCCAGAAGTGTAAGACCCATTAAATACGACCATCCGTGTATTCTGTAACCAGATATTAATGAATCCGTGGGTCTCATCGCAGCTTTGATTCCTACAGCACAGGCTTCCTATAGAAGTCAAATTAAAAAATAAGTTTTAATATTTTGCTTTACATAGGTTTATAAAGATACTATTATAGTAATAATAATGAGAATGAGAAACCTGTTATTTTAAGTTAAATTTTCAGCAAATGAAAAAAAAAAATACTACAAATTATGCTTTTCAAAAAAAATTGAATAGTTTTAATAAGCAACTTGGTATTGATGAATCGGAAAATATTAGAGGTCTTATTGTACCATACTCTTTTAATTTTAGAATTCTTAGAAATTATATTTTGTATTGGAGATAGTTTGTTTTAGTATTATAATTGTTTCTACCAATTGAAATATCTCAAAATTGATTTTATTAAATCTTGTTTTTTTGTTTTTCAATCTTATTTTTAAATATCAAATAAAATTGGGTTACTAAAATTACTTAAATAAAAAAAATTATCTACTAAGGGGTTTGTACACCATACCATATCGTTATTTTTATTTATGATTGAATTTTTTTTTCTAGATAAGCTTAAAATTTAGAACAGAACCAGGTAGAGGCTTTGGTGACTTTTAAATTCAAAATCATTTTTTAAAATATAATTTGAAAAATATAGCTCAACTCAGCTGAAAAATCTCGTTTTAAAAATAAAGTTTTCTTAAAAATTTCTTCTTCTAAATCGGTGGTTTAGTGCTAAAAGAGAGAAATGAATTTTCTAGTGTCATTCAGAAACATTAGAAAACTCAAATTTTTTAATCCTTTGCTTCAAAGTTATTTTATATATATTTATTTTAGCAAAGTATGGCAATATAAGTCTTTGATTTAAGATAAAAAACAATTCCTTTCCTATGGAACATTATACTTGTAAATAGTAATACTAGATTAATCAAAAATTAATATTTTTTGACACATTGCTTTTAGGACTGAAGTTTGGAAAATTTGAAAACGGGTAAAAATAAATTTACTTGGCCTGTTTGTAAGTGGCAAAATCCCCTGATCATTTTCTTTTCATACAAGTTTCCAGCAGCTGCCTCAAGCGATCGTATAACCATCATCTGCTTATAATATAAGATGGCTTCGTTTTTAGTAACAGTGGCCTCATGTGGTGGTCTTTCTTCCAGTTTGTGAAGTTTGAATTCCTAAGAAGAAGAAAAGCAATTAAATAGTCATGAAATCAATCCGCACAAGGTCAGGAGGGTATATGTATGACAGAATGACTCAACACCTAGCTTTTGCGGGTAACTTAGCGATTACAGGAATGACATCCAATGCACTCTTATAAAAAAGCAGGACTGTTCATAAATAAAAAGACAAAACTAAATATATGTTAACAACGAGGGAGATGAAAGGTACTAGATATATCAAGGGAGTTGGACATCGTTTCGAAAGAGTACCACAATTTAGATATTTGGGCTCTGTTATCACTGAGAATAACAATATAAGAGAAGAAATAAATGCAAGGGTCACAGCCGGTAATAAGTGTTAGTGGTCAGGAGGTAGTAAGGCAGATGGAGAGGGGCGGCTGAAGACAGTTCAGTTTGGAGGAAGATAATGGAGGATGCCAAGGTTATAGAAGGACTTAATAATATCTTTCTGGCTAAGATATAAGATGATCTAAGTCATCCAACATTGATAATAGTGCATAGACACTCTAGAAAGCCTTAATCACTTTTGTCGGTAAGTAAACATAAGAATAAACTGAAATGAACATGCTAGTTTATTATTGGTAAATTAAAGTATTTACTGTGGCATAGAAAAAAAACACTTTAAAAAAATGCAGAATAATAACGAACAGGTGTGATGTGGAGTTGTCAGCTAGTAGCCATATCATTATAAAAGACCTGCAATATTTCAAACAGAACTATTTGAATGGATTGGTCAATTTATTAAAGGTCACCTTCCTCAGTAACTGGTCAAGGTATATTAATCATAATATAGGAAGCGTAGCTATCTTCTTAACATAGCAGCAATGCAAACATGCACAGATAAACCTAACAAGGTGTAAATTTGTTTTAAGACATTCAAAGGTATGTTAGGTAGGATCCTCAAATATAATCTGTTGCGGTTGATGAACTTGATCAAAAACTTCAACTAATATTTATATAAATGCAATATAAGCTACAAAATTAAACTTACTAAATAATTTAATAAATTATACATATTTGTTTTGGTAAAAATGTTAATAATACCATGACAAATTAAATAAAAATATTTTGTATTAATGAATGGAGTAAGTGCATACCAACTTATCATTTTTTATCTCAAAAAAAATGAGGTAGAATTAAAAACCCAATCCTTGAAGAACATTTTTGAAGTTTTAAGATAAAGTTGTTTTCAAAATAAATTTACCGGAAGTTTTCATTTTGACAACAACTGAGACTTTTTTCAATTGTTCTAATTAAAAACGAATATAATATACCTCTTTTTTAAATAAACCTTAAATAAAAAAATATTGAAAACACTAAGAGACACAATTCTTAACAAAAAGTGCTAGGAAGCCTGTCAAATTAGAACCTTTGTTTCTAGTAAAAATATAATCCTTCAAATAAGAAAAATTAATTAGCTATTTTTACTTGTAGGTTCTCGTGATGAATAGGGAAATGTGATTATATGTGCTTGAATTGTAATATGGTAATATAAAATAATTTTAAAAAATTGTTTAATGCAATATTTTCTCAGGACTTTTTTTTATTTTTTTTAAATTAATTTATTTATACAAAATATGAGAATTTAATTTATTTGTAAATTTATCATAAAATATATTATTTTTATAAATAAAATAAAAGATCACTACTGATACCAGAACACTCTTGCAAGGACCCTAGTCTCGATTTTGAGATGAGAAAACTTGTATACAATAGAAAAAAAAAATCTGATATTTCTAATCTTATTGCTTAATATTATAGATAGTTTCATTTAAAATTCATTACAGTTGTGGAAGAATTTTTTCAGATGTTAAAAACTAGAAATATATGAAACTCTTTTTAGAACTAAAAGTGCATGCCATATCATATAAAAGTTACGAGGTATAAATTATGGTTGGTAGCAGTTATATAATAAAAGTTTTTAATTTTATCTCTGAGCAATATATGTTGGAAGATATTCCATAAATGCAATAGTCTGTCATAAATGTCATATTTTTTTAATATTGTTAACATAGGGATTAAAAAACACCCAATATTATTTACACAGCTTTGCAGTTTAGAGTGTAATAATCTTTGACAATAGTCCACATATTGGAGAGAGATGCTTTCAGTTTAAATATTGATTAGAAATGTTTAGTGTAGCAATTGTGTAGGCACCTAAAAATTTTAAGTGATCAATAATTTATGAATCCATAAGATTCTTTTTTATTTATTTATTTTTAAAGTTAGTATAACATCAGCAATGCTTGATAACTTAGTTAAATTGTTTTGATTTAATTAAAAGAGCAGTGATCTAATCAAAATAGTAGTAATATTTATCCACTGTAGCCAATCATAAGCACTGAACTTAAAGCACACAAATGATTAATTCAAAGATATAAAGAGTAATTCTTATCAAAAATATGCATACCCTAGTTAAAATGGTTGCATTATCACTAAAAAAACTCTTCAACCACAAATTTATACTTCTCATATTCTACAAAAGAAAATAAAGCATATATTAAATAGAATTATTGCTTGAAAAACATTCATTCCTTATATAACCTTCTACCTTTACTTTGAGAAAATTTTGACTGCTCATAATTAAAATGAACTAAAATTTAAAAGAAAAAGTATGAGAAATATTCAAATGCATTCTCTTTCTAGAGCTATGTACATCACATAGCTCTGAGGAAAACCAGAATGACAAATACTGCTGAGTTATCTCAGGCAGTAAGTCTTGGCTGCATTAAATGATATTGAATTATAGATAAAATTTCCTTGATTTGAAAGCATTTATTAATTATGAGATATCAGAGAATTGGGCATTAAATGAAGTTAGTCTGTGTTTTTTTTTCAAAAGGAGTCCAGGGTACTCAAGACATTAACTGAACAACTATTTTTTTTTTAAGTGGTAATTACTTTTTGATTATGATCTAAACTCAAGTGAATTTACACTAACTTCACAATGAGTGTAATGGCTTTATTTTATATGACTCACGTCATGTGGGATATTTTCCATTCAGCTATCTTAATGAGAGTAAAGTGATTTAAAAATAATAATTTGCGGTTAAATACATCCTGGCATTTGAAAATCGATGAAAATTTACCGCTCATAATTAATTTTTTTAAAATAATAGATGTATTTAGAATAATATGATAGTAAAAGACTAGTTCTGAATCAGTACTCCAGAATGGCGGATCGTTTTAATTACGATAACTTCGAGCAAACCGAGTGAGCAAATGAAAACCCGAGGAACACCGAAAGGAGCCGAGTATTGACTTGACATGTTCATAAAATGGCAGACGTGTCGTGGTGACATATTTTTGTCTTACTGGACTATTTACTGGGGCGAAACTAGAAACAGTTTTTTCTTAACGCTGGAAACACTCATTCAATAGCTAGATTATACATAAAATTATTATATTCGATTTTAATTTCGATTGCTCCAGTATTTAAATTTAACAATTATTATTTTATTTCTAGCGTCGTAATTATGGATTGTGCTTAACAATCTGAAAGGATATTAAGCGAGTATTAATTTCTTTATTTAAAAACATAAAAATTATGTCAATTTCGATATTTATTTCTTGAGATGAAATGAAAGTTTCCAAGAGCAGCTGACGATCACGTCGATACGTCGCTTCACTTTGCTTTTTAAGAAATAAAGAAGAATTTAACGTAATCGGGGTTGTAGTTAACTTAAGGTAATCAATTGTTTTCATATACAGCCTGGTTATTTTGGATTCCACCGTGTGCTGGAAGCACTGGAGATCCAGTGTTTAATTTTGGGGGAGGGGCTTCTTCCTTAAAGGTTTTTTTTTCAATATATTAATAACGATAATTACATTGTATACAAAAAAAAAGAAAAAGAAAGAAACTAAATACCTATATGAAATAGTGTTCAACTGATTCTTGAAGTCCTATTAAATGTAATTACAGGAACAATAATACTTTTAGAGATAATTTTTTTCATAAGATTCATTGATATATTTTACCATTTTGGGGAGATTTCATCCTGAAATCTTCCCCCCCCCTCTTCCAGTATATCTGCGACCAAGTGATCTTGCAACCAGCTAACATCTTGAAGTAGTGATTCATAAATAGTAACAAACAGATAATATATACATTTAGTCCTAACTTGATCGATTTTTTTTTCTTTTGACAATGTTATTGATTTTATTAATTGTAGGATTCTACTTGATTATGTTCAATAAACCATCTTAATCTGCCAAGAAAAAAAATTGATGTTTTAGGTTTCATATTATTAACCAATCATGGAATAGAAGGCCAACCATCCACCAATGTGATTACAAGATCAATCTTTTTTTTTTTTATGATTTGGTACCACTCACAAATCAATATCATCTCAGCAGTAGCGGATCCAGGATTTAATTTTGGGGGGCTTCAGCATGAAAGTTTTTTTTTTTAAATACATATAACAATAATTAACTTGGAAAAAAAATAAAGAAACTACCTATATGACATGGTGTTTAAGTGGTTCTTGAAGTCCAATTAAATGTAATTACATGAATGAGATAGTTTTTAATATATATATTTTTTAAACACAGTTATATTTTACCATTTTTGGGAGGGAGGTTCTTGAGCTGGAAGGCCTCTCCCCCCCTCCCATAGATAGCCCTGTTCATCTCGGAATATTTCTAAAAACTAGGCATTACCACGAGCCATTTTGTTTCAAAATGATGTTCAATTAGTCTTCATAGTATCACTATACCAAAAAAATAGTGACATAAAATTGGTCAAGAATAATTTCAAATTAATTGAAAGCAATGAATATTTTTCAGTATTTAAAAAATAAGAAATAAAACCTGTACCACTACAACTCATAAAGAAAGGATTTAGTTGATGGTAAGGATATACTGTTTCTTAGCCAATGATTATACGAAGGGTAATGATGCTCAACTGCCATGTTTTAACCTAAATCCAGTGAAGGACCACCTAGTCACTTAATAAAGGTAAAGTGTATCTTAAGATGGTACCAGAGAATAAATTCACAACTATCAGTATATGATGGGGAATCTATATGTGCACATCAATTTAACTTTTTAAACTAGCTCCTTTATTCCAGTAAAATAAATTAATTCAATAATTTAGAGATAGATTTTGTTGACTATTTTTTTTTTTTAAATATCCAAGACGTATAGTTAGGGTTTACTTTTGAGTTCTTGACGTTGTAGTAGACGGAAATCTTTGCTCTCGTACTTGAGTTGAAACATCAGCAACTAGAATAAAAATATTTTGACCGAAAAACCTGACTATACACATCTTCCTAAATATTTTAGAGAATTTTGAGGAATTGTATAAAAAAAACATAAAAACAACAAAATATAAGACATTTATTTATAAGAATCTCTGCTATGAATTAATAATATGAAAACAAATAAATCAGTATATGAGTAAATTGATTTTAAAAGCAGCTCATAACATTTCAAAATAAAAATAAAAAAAGATTATATATATATTTAAATACTGAAAATATGTTAGTGATAAAAGTAAGATACACAATAAGATAAATGTTAGTCAGCTTGTAACAAATAAAAATGTCTTTATTACATATTTTTAATGTGTTTATTTCGGGGAAATGTGGTTGATTGTGATACATTGAGACAAAAAAAGTGTGCACTTTAACTGAAACCTGGAAAATTGTTCAATATACTGGTTTCCATCATTTATCGATTTGAATCCCATTAAAACCTACATCAGAAGGTTCAGTTTGGGCGAATATACATACAAAATTACCAGATCATCGCTTTGAGAAGATGCTCCACAATTATAAATTTTATATAACATTGAATTCAACCAGCATAATTACAAGAAAAAATACCACAACTTCAAATATGTAAACAAGAAAAAAACAAAAAAAACATTACACTTGTTTTCTTAAATTGATGAAGATATGTATAGAAATAATGATGAATGAAAACCAGAACGAATTATAAAAAGCACTTGTTTAGCCTCACCAGTATTGAACATTAAGACAGTTAACAATATTATTAATAAACTTGAGACGTTAATTAATAAAGAACAATGTAAACTCATTTATCTGGTGTCACATCGAGCAATTAGAAATCTATTATAATTCACAATTTTTAAATTACCAAAAAATATTATTCTTTTGAATTTTTTCATTGATACAAGATAAAAATAAAATATATTATCTATTACCAAAATCTTAATAATAACTAGAAAGACATTTCACAGCCAAAATAATCCATGCGGTAACAAGTAAGTATAAAGAGTTTAACAGTGTTTTAGAATTAATACTACATCGAACATTTTATATCTCAAATAAATACACAAATATATTATTTTATTATTATTTTTTTTATGAGGAATACAAATAGAATGAGGCAAATAAATGGACACTGTTATCTGCCAATAGAACAAGTTTTCATTAAAAATAAACTTAACTCTTAAGAATAAATTCGAGAATATAGGGTTCTGATAATATCACTACAGAATTTATTGAAAACTCTATCAGGCATGTTCTATTTCAAATGTAAAGTATAATAACCACAATAGTAGGAAATACTTTCCAATGAAATTGTAATTTTAAATGTTTTTTGTTTTGTTAGTTAAAATAATTAATCAATTCAAATTATATTCCCCATTTACATCATATATGATTTTTATTGGAAATATAGTGGAAATATCAATTCTAAACCCACGAACAAAGGGCGGCCAAATTTTTCGGTCAATAAAAAAATTATAATTTCAAATCGGCTATATAATATTTTGGATTCCAATAGATTATTTAAACTTTAAAATTAAAAATTCAATCTTATTCATCAATTTATTAGTAAAATTAATAACAAAACAATTAAAAATTATCTTAATGCTAATTAAATAAAAGAAATGTTTAGATTGTAAGATGGAATTAGATTTGTCTATTCTCCTACACGAGTTATAAAAATTCCTTAGAACAATTTTAATTTTATTCTATTTTCAAAAAAACAATTATACAATGCAATGCACAGTATACACTTTAGTATGTCTTAAAACAATAAATGCAAACAATTATTATATATCAAACAATTAAAAGTATATTAACATAATATACTTTATATTCATAATTAATATAATAACATAAACAATCAAAATAATTTAAACATAATTATTAAAATAAAGACTATTTGTAGTAGATGGAAGAACGTTAGTAGCTCACACCAAAAAGAATATGGAAATAGGGAAATGACAACAGCTATAAGATGCAAATTGCTCAATCTGTCATACTTTGGTGGGCGAACTACAATTAAGAATGTTAACAACTTAATCAAATAGATTTTTCATATGCATCTTGTATCGCATGTAATAACAATTCATTAATTAGTAAAATAGTTATAAATTCTTAATTAAAGTAGTATTAATAATAGTGGTAGTAAGAATTTGTTTCCTTCCAGACTTGTATTCCAGGCTTTTAGAACGGGAGTATTAAAAAAACTTTTTATCGGAAAAATCACAATATTTTTATTAATTAATGAAATAGGCTTACATATCTAATAATATGAGCAGTTATAAACAATTTAATTCAGTTATAAAAAAATAATTACTAATATATACTGCTAAATACATCTAAATTACTAATTAAAATTACATGAGATACAACTGCACTTAAAACACAAATGTAATAATAAAACTTTAAAAATTAAATCTAACATTAAGGCTATCACAAAATAAATTAATATATAAAAATATATTAACTTAGCCACTCGAACCAATAAAATGAGGGCCATTGAGTGAATGTTTTCACGATAGATGAGGATGGCACGGATGCATGAGTAATAAATAGACTCATGACGAGGAAACGCTAAAACAAAAATAAACTTAACTTGGCTATTTTTCGGTATATATAATAAGAAATGTATTGAAGCTACAAGGAAAACCAATAAGATATTTATCTATTAATTTAAAATACTTACGTAAGCTCATTTAATTTGCTGACCAAGTCCACTGGAAAAAAAAAAAAAAAATTATGTACAAAAATAATTTTTTTACCAGTTTCATCAGATTCAATTAGAATAAAACATCGAAAAAATGAATTGCTGTTTTGGATAAAAAATTTATGATTGTAATGTAATCTCAGAGTAGCAATGATTAAACTTACTTTCAGGAGTAGAACGTGAAGCTTCGTTAGAACAGGCAGATTTCCTGTTCTGGAACATACTTTTCTGCATCTATTGCAACAAATAAAATATGTTTATACTTAAAAAATATTCACAGACTTAGACAAAATAATAATAGCTTAAGATTTGTTGAATAGTTTATATTTAATGGATTTTTCAGAGTAATTAGTTAGCTTAGCGTATACAGATAAGGTTCAGAATAAACCATTACTATTTGTACATATTCTATCTATGAAAATTGAACAAACGTAAAATTTGAGTACGATTTATTTGATAAACTAGAGCAATTGTAAACAGGCTTAAGGTAGATCAGTGTACAAATTTCAATACTTCCTAATATTGCTGATCAAATACTTTTTACCATAGCTTAGTATTGTCAAACAATAATTTCTGTTAAAAGTAGAGGAAATATTGAAGATTATGTGATGCGAGCAACAGATTTTCTTACTTTCACTTAGTCATCTTTTTTCTCTCATTCACCCCATTCTGACACCAGGAAATGAAACCGTAATCTTACATTGGAAATTGAATAGCTGTAACTTCGTTAATAGTTGTCCGAAATGAACGATTTTTATATGGCATTGTAGGGAATTTCATTACCTTTACAAACGAAAGCCTGAACGGCGTGTTTCTGACTCAGGAGTCCGGGGGATAGCCCCGTTTTTGGGCTACAGTCTATAGAAAAACATGTTTTTCATTTATTGCGCACGGAGCACCGAATTTCTGTCATAGGCATCAGTAGTCAAAATCCTACAAAATAAAAAAAGAAGCAACAAAATCGGTTCAGTAGTTCCCGAGAAAATCCTGGCACAGACAGACAGACAGACCAATGGCTAAAAATGTGTTTTTCGGACTCAGGGGGCTCTGAAACGTATAGATCCGTCGAAAACCGCATGTCGGAAATTTGACCCGATTGCAATACTTTCCTTACCTAGTATAGGTAGGAAAGTAATAAGTTAAAAAATGTGTAAAAAATAGAATAACCTGCATCATCGCTAATACTTTTTCGATTTCGATAATTTTTTTAGTTTTGTTGGTAATTTAATTACCTTTCAAGTTTTATTATAAATTTTACCATATAATATATACTTAGGGAGTTAGGCCCCATAACATTTTTCTTTTCTTCATAACTTTTTTCCCTGAATTTTTTCAGGAATTTAGTCTATATACGAAAATTGAAAGAACAATTATTAGAAAATTATAGGAAAGTTTCATCAAAATCGTTATAGCCGTTTTTGGGCTACAGTCTATAGAAAAACATGTTTTTCATTTATTGCGTATGGAGCACCGAATTTCTGTCACAGGCATCAGTAGTCAAAAACCCTACAAAATAAAAAAAGAAGCAACAAAATCGGTTCAGTAGTTCCCGAGAAAATCTTGGCACAGACAGACCAATGGCTGAAAATGTGTTTTTCAGTCTCAGGAGGCTCTGAAACGTATAGATCCGTCGAAAACTGCATGTCGGAAATTTGACCCGATTGCAATACTTTCCTTACCTAGTATAGATAGGAAATTTAAAAAAAGTGAATATTTTAATATCATAATTTAATGATGAACCATATGCCAGAAGTTATGTGGAATTAATTACCAAAAAGTGCATATGGCGCCTCAGCTCAATCCTGCATTCCATCGAGTACTCATAGGCAGATTTATCACTGTGGTTGCCGAGGAGAGGATCAGCTCCGTGCTAAGAAATAAACAAATTGTTGATAACATATTCTAATTGTATCACAAGTTTTAACAAAAATTTAGTATACTTTGTTGTTCAAATTCTAGTTATCTCATTCAGATTTTAATAATTAAATATATAGAAAGATTAAGATAAAAGTTTAGTAATCTTCGCAATTTTTGCAAACTGAAATGGAAGATCTTAGAAGCATCAGTATGTGAATGTTTTATTAATAAAATGACACTATATAGAAGAATATTTTCACTGTTTGTATTTAATATATGAGCATATTCAAATATAATTCCAAATAATTAGAGAATATAATATATAATATGAAAATATTTCTATTTACAAATCTGTTGAAGAATCAATAATTGTTTTTATTTTAATGGTTTAATCCGATGAAAAAATTTATTAATCAGAAAGAAGTTTGTTCAAAACTGGTGAACAAAATTGTTATTTTTTTTTCAAGATTTCACAACTGTTACTGCACAGTTTTTTATTTTTAAAACTAAAGGATAACTGTAAATAAAAAATTATCAAAAACGGTTCCACCATGCTCATCACCAAAGCATCAAAGTTCATGAAAACACTACGAGTTTGATCATATATAGTGTAGGTAAAATAATTTGGTTAATTCTGAAAATGAATTCGTAGCTGGGGCCAACGAAATAATTTGTTGTGGCAGTGGACATGTTAAAAAAAATTGTTCATTAAAACATATCTCTCTATAATATAATTAAGTTTTTAGTGGCCGTGTAATATTTTATTTTACATAAAAGGTAAAATCCTCTCAGAGCTGTGCTGATGTATAAGTTTCCGGATACTGCGCCCTAATCCTATCACCCAAATCCAACTTTTTTTAACTGCTCAGGACATAAGTTTTCAACTATTCTCTTTTTAAACTATTTCTGTCTTTCAAACTCCTTTTTCATTTGTATAATTTATAAACTGGTGGTTGGTTATGGGTCAGCGGATTATCACTCCAGTAACACATAAAAATGTTTTGGGGCTGATCTAATAATAATTTTTGAAATATTACAATAAATTGGTATCTCTTACAAGAAACTTATAATTGGTAACGCCATTAAATGAGAATGTAGGAGTGATTTTTATTTCAGTTTTAGGGAAATTTGAATACCTAAATGTTTTAAACAACTACAGGTATATCTTTTTGATCTGTTTATTTAATCTTTTATTTATCAAATTATTCTCTTTTTTAAAAAAAGTACAACAACTTAAGACCAGATTGAATTTAATTTTTTGTCCTTTAGTTTGTTAACCATTTTTCAGACTACTTTCAAACAAAAAGACTATGTTTGATTAATCAATTTGATCAAGAAGTTTCTAAACTTGGTACAAGTAAAGAAAGTTCATCGAAGAAATTAAATCCAACTATCATTAAATTATTTTGTTTCTGAAGATATACATATTTTATTAAAATAAAAAACTGAATAGAGAGGGAAAAAATACATACATCTAGTAGCAATTCAACCATCGAGCAATTTTTATTAGCAACAGCAAGATGTAATGGTGTTTCACCAGTTCTACTATTCTGAACGTTTGGCTCGAAATCCTTTTCGAGCAATAATTTAACAATGTTGATGTTATCATTTCGAGCAGCATCCAACAGAGCGTTATCTCCCCCTAAGAAGTTTTAAATATCAGATCAGTAAAATACGTTCTTGCTTAAATGGTTAATAATAATATAAAATAAATAAGCTAAATTTACAATAATATGTTCAACGTACTCTTCAATTTAAGTACAGATTTATCAGACACTGAGCTGAGCAATCTTACAATTGTAGAAGAATACAGTTGCAAATTATCCTGTAACCATGAACTTGTTCTATTTTAAATGTTTCATGGATGACCAATCATTGACACCTCGTAATGTTGAAGCATGGAGAGGGAGCAATTAATTGTATTCGGAAAATACTCTGTACGTTTGGATTATCCGTAAACCTCCAAAAAAAGTTCTGGGATCATCTTGCTCGGAGGGAAGCTAAGTAACATCAAAGCTTCACTTTTTATATCTAGTTCTGCCATAAATACTGTTACAAAAGTTGAACTTTGTTTACATCTTTCGGTATTATTTAGATAATCCTTACCTCTATCAGGTTACTATCTTTACATGTCAGGATAATAATCCCAATTAGTTTGTATTTTTCTTTCACTCAGTTAACATGGAATGGGGTGATAAGGAAAACCGAATAGATGTGATAGCCTTACACAAAGTTGGAGAATGTTGGTCAGAGATTTTTAACACTTTGAAACCTCTGGGTATCAGCCGTATGTTCGTGTACCACATTATAAATAGATATGAAACCCTATCTGTATGTGACAGACCTCGACCAGGCCGTCCCAGCACTGTGAGAACGGCAAATGAAGTGAGGGCAGTGTCTGCTCAAATGAGAAGAAATCTCATTCAAAAACAAATCATGTCTCGGGAAATGAGAATCTCTTTCAGATCAATATCTCACCTTAGGATGAGTGCATTTCAAAGAATGACGGGACAAAGGCTAACCACTTCCCTAAAAAAAATTAGAGTGGGTAAGATGCAAAGTACTCCTTGGCCGTTACACCAATGGTCTTCATCGAAAAATTTTGTTTAGCGATGAGAAATTGTTTACATATGTTAAAAAATTTAATCGCCAAAATGATCGTGTGTAGACACAGAGCTCTAAAGAAGCAAAGGAAGTCATTGGAAGAGCGGAAAGAGGTCATCATTCTTCCTCAGTGATGACTTGGTGGGGAGTTTGCTTTGATGGCACCAGAAAGCTCCATTTTTGTGAAAAAGGAGTTAAAACAGCAGCTAAAAACTATTAGCCTCTAAATGATACTCTGTTTGCTGGGACTCATGGGGTTTTCCAGCAGGATTCCAACATTCAGCAGTGGCTGCAATAGAACATTCCAGAGTTCATCTCAGGAAGCCTTGATCTCAACCCACTAGATTATCGGCTTAGGTCCGAACTGGAGAGGATATCATGCCACAGAGCACATCCTAGCTTGGAAAGCCTCGAACAATATCTGGTCAGTTGAGCGCTGTCCTCAAGAAGTGCTGCGAGCTGCTATTGATGATTGGCCAAGGAGATTAAATGCCTGTATCAAGGCAAAAGGGAGTAATTTCTAACATTTTGAATAATTTCTTTTTTGTTTTACTCTCTATAGATATAAATTGTATTTTCTTATAAAGTTTTTGAAAAAATAAATTTTTCTGTTGAAATCTGTTTGAAATCACCATATATTTCCTTGTAACAATATTTATAACAGGCCTAAAAATAGGTAAAGAATTAAGATTAACGTAGGTCACCATAAAAAATCTATGATTCTATGGATAGCTGGAATTAGAGGTTAAATGGAAATATAGAAAAGCTGGTTAATATGAGCCTTCTTAATATGGACAAATTTTCTCTATCGTTATTAGAATTTATAGACATACTTTGAAAAATTGTAAAGGCGGCAATAGGTTCACTTTCTCAGCTATGATGTAAGTACAGCGACAATACAGAAGGGCATGAGACTTTTTTGGTGTAAATGGGAGATTCGTCTTCAACATCGGTTTATTTCCCAAAAATTGGCCAGTGTTTCAGGAGAATTTTAATTTCTGAGATGAAGTTAAAAAATTTGATGGTCTGTTAGGCTTCATCAAAGTGAACATTAACATTGAAAAAAGTTAGGCAGTCTCTGAAGGAAAAGTTGGTTGAGGACTGGAATTATTATAAAAATTATAAACGCTATATTGATTTATATTTCATTGTGGGTATTTTTATTTATATTAGTACCATCATATCATACCAAATTTTAATATTTATATCGCTGTAATCTATACAATTAAATAATACCAACAATAGCATTTATAAAAACCGCATATGCATATTTACATAATATTGTCAGAGTACTTATTATATTAAGCTCATATTAAGTATGAAAGTGTGTTCTAATTTTAAGGGCAATCTCAGGTGCACTCGTATTCCTTTGGTTCCTCAATTACAACTATTCTCCGTTACGATCTCTTATTTTTCCTTTAGTTAATTATCAAATTCTTTCATATTTTATATTTAACTATCTTTTATATTAGAGATGAATGTGAAATGGTCAATTGTTTCAAATAAAAACAAATTTAAGATAATTTAGGGAAAGCTAATATTGAAGATTAGCCATTTAAGCCCTGTTAGAGAAAATCAATCAGAACAAAAGCTAAATTTAATTTAAAACGGCTTAATTTTACACTGACGTAATGAATTTAATTAAAATCGTTAAGAGCCGTTTTCGAGAAAATCGTAAAAATGTTTTAGTCAAGGATTTAAAGTGGCACTTCCGGTTGGCTGATTTTGACGGAAAAGTTGCTGTAACGTCTTAAGCATATAAAAAATTTAAATATCCAATTTCACTTTTATACAACTTTTCATTTTTGAGCTAGACTGTTATTACACAAAATTTTCACGATCGCAATACTTTCTCTTACTATATATTTCATATATAGGTAAGTGAAAGTAAGAACGTATTGAGTGAGAGTGTATACAAAAGGATAGTAGACTAGAACAAAAAATGTTTCAAAGGTTTCCCCAGCACTATTTATAAACTGCAATTAAAAATAAATCAGAGCAAAAATAAATATATTATACTTACAAAGATTTTTCCTTTTCCTATCGATGTCATCCCTTTCCAGAATCAGTTTTAAATATTCGACCGGCGATCTAACTGCATAATGTAGGGCTGTATTACCTTCATAATCAACAGCGTTGACATCATTGCTGTTTTCTAATATCTCATTGACTTCTTCAATAGGTTTTTTCATGTTAATAGCTGATAGCAAATCCATCTATAAATTAAGTACAAAAATAAGGCAGAGAAATAAATTAACGAAAATCCAGTTTCACATGTTTGCCAGTTTCAATAGTTGGGCATAATTCGAATAAATTTGTATTTAAATAACGAATTACCAATAATTTTTTTAGATGGCTTTTACAATTGATTTATTCGCTATTTAAAGATAATCCAAATCATCTGCTATATACTATTTGTTATTTGAAGATAATCGTCTGATTCAAATAAAATAACAAAAAAAAAAAACATGTTTAAAAACACCACAACAATTTTAATGTCCCACTTAAAAAACTGACCGTCTTCTCACTGACTTTTCTTCTTATTACAAGTAACAAAAAGAAAAAAAATAGATATATAAAAAAATATGAGAAAATGGCACCAAACCTGGAGGATGTGACTAAAAAATAAAAGAAAAAAAATGGAATTTTGTGGTTCAAACTATTTTCCAAATACTTTTTGAGTCAAGCTAAGAGGAAAATGAGAGTTAAAATTTTCTACTTTTCATTCAAGAAATGAAAGACTTTTTCTTAATTGTGGGTTGATGGTTGACTGTAGTGAATTGAAGAGGATACTTGGGGTGATCAGTCAAAAATAAAAATTGTTGGAAAATTGTTTGAAAGGTGAAAAGCCGATCACCAATTCACAGATAAAAAGAGGAAAAGCAGATGAAAATTTGGAAAACTTTCAGACTATTTTTCGTTTTACCCAGGATCGTAAAAGAAATATACAGTTTAATTATTTCAAGTTTTATTTTTAAAAAATTGTATTTAATAATCTGTTATTTAAGATGATGAATATAAAATTTATTTGTTATTATTTATTTGAAAAAAACTAACTATACCATTTGTTAACTATTATTAGTTGTCAAAAATAAATTTTGCCATACACTGATCAGTGGAGAATGAAATACAGTAAATGTAACATTCCTTAAATCAGTTTTTTTTTTTTAAAGACTTAGTTCATAAATTGTTTAAAGGACTTTCACTATAATACCAGTTTGTTATTAAAATTATGTGTTATCAATTCATTATTTGAGCCTTTCACTTGACAGAATGGCTAACTCAAATTTCAAAAATTTTGATTAAAGTAATTTTAATGATATTTCTAGTTGGAAAATTTATTACATCTGTACAGAGAGTAAGTTTATTCCATAGTAGGTATATACAGTGTTGAAATGTAGAACTGTGAATAAAGGTATACATTTTTCCACCAGAAATATCACTAAAATCAATAATAAAAAATGTTAAAATTGGAGTTAGTCATTCTGTCAACTCAAAAGGCTCATTTAATAATAGAAACAATACAAACTAAAATCAATATTATAAAAACTACCTTGGAATAGGAACACTTTCTTCCACTCATCACTTCAGATTTAGAAACTCCAATAAAGCGGCCTGGACTATCATCACTAAAATTTAAAAAAAGTATATTAATATAATTTATCAGCAACTAGTCAAGCTGAATAAAATATGTATAAAATTATTATTTTATTAAAAAAAATTATATTTCTTCACATTCTGCATATCATAAAAACCTGCACCACTAAGACCCATGAAGGATCTTGGGTTCAGTACTATTTAGAGCACGTACTGTTTAAAGGTCAACAGTTGTGCAGGGAGGAGATCGGGCCAGGATCACGCTCGACCGCCAGGTTTTCCCCCTTAAATTAATTATTTTAATTAAGGATACCCATTTTGTAGTCTGGGTGTGCCCCAGGAGAGCCTCCTTACCCCAAGGCCGATGAAACAAAATAAATAATTTTTTTGCCATGAGGCGGGATTCAAACTTGGAACATTGAGCATTGAAAGCTCAGTGCCCTACAGCTGAGCTACCCCATTCCCTTTTGCATATCATCATAAAAGAAAAAATTAATTAAGAAAAGAGCTTTTTCAAATTGTATATTGCCACTCCATTAACGGTATAACACCTCAAAACAAGTTAATTTTGAGGTAAGCAAGTATAATCATTTTTATACACACTAGAATCCATGAACGAGAACTCTAACATTAGCATATAAATGTTTCTTAATGTATTGAATTTTGAAAGAAATCTAGAAGTACGAATAGTATAAAAAAACTTCTGAGATTTTGAATAAAGTTTTAACAGTTTCGCACAAATCGCTTTTTAGCTATTGATATATTTATTTATTGTAATAACAGAAAAAAAAATCTTTTAAATCATGATTATCAAATAAGGATGACAAATGGTCAGAGTGTGCAGTCAAAAATTTCTTTATTGAGTTTGCCGATGTTTCGATCCAATTCGACCTATCTCTAAATCATTATCAAATGTTTTAGAACTGTTCAAAGTTTAATTAATATAATTTATAACTTTGCTTTTTAATAATATTTATTGCTACTAAGTATTAATATCAAGTATTTATTATTTCAATAATAATAAATTATTTATTTATTCGGGGAAAAGTTTCTTTAGACTAATACTAGAGGAAAAGAATTCTGGGAATTAGAACCTTATAGAGCAAAAGATAAAAGAAAGAAAAAAAATAACAAATGAAATAATAATAAATTATAAAGTAACGGCAGTTAAGGGCAGTTTAATAAATCAAAAAAAAAAAAAAAAAATGAAGCAAACATGAAGTAATAATAATTTAAAACAAACAAATAATATATATATATATATATTCTTCTTCTTCAGTTGGCACTACAGACCATGAAGATCTTTGACCGCGAGTGTGGTCTCCTAGACCACATCCCGATTCCTGATTTAAAGTACAGGGTATGGTCATCAATTCTATGCCCCCGGTCAGTGTGAATTGCCTCCAGTAGCATGAGGGGTCTCATATAACCGGGCGGGGAGAGGAGGAGGGGAAGGAATCTCGGGCAGTGTGGTTTTCCTTGTGGACGGTCATCCAAATCAGGGCAGTCAATCATCCAAGTGCTAACCACGCTCGGTGTTTCTTAACTTTGATTACCTGCCTTAGCCCGCATGGCTACCCCAGCCCATATATAATATATATATATACCCAAATATATATATATATATATATATATATATATATATATATATATACAATTTTTTTTTTAAATAGATGTATGTACAAGACTAATGATTTTTAAAAAAATAAAATAAAATAAAGTTTTATTCTACATTTACAAATTTCAGTTCAAGAGCAGAAACATCCACTTACAATACTCAGGGAACTAGATGATAGGAAGTGGTTGAAAAAAAAAAAGATTTAAAAGTGTGAGGGGTAGTGGAGAGACGGATGAAAGGAGGAATTGAATTCCAGAGGAAAGTAACACATAATAAAAGGGCCAGGGTTGATTGGATTTTCATTATAATTATTTCTAATAATAGTTATCACTCTTCTATAATTGGATATATCTAAAAAAAAAAGTTTTAAAATACTCACTTTACTGATATAGTCATCGCTTGTGTAGTTATCGATGGTGTAGTTATCAAACATTGTCCATTAGCTGTGTGACCATTGTCTGCATCTAGGAAAAAATTATAACTTATAGTATTTGTATATATGTAGTATTGTGTTGTTAGTCATTCCGATCAAACTGAAACAATATTTAAATAGAGACATAGCACACATCTTACAAAAAGCTGAACGGAAGTACGTATTATAACAATATGGATATAACGATAATTTAAAAAAAAAAATGTTGGCTTTAGAGATAGACCACATTGTTTAGAAGAATTGCCCACACAATGTTTGTAGGTTTGTTGAGTTAGTCTGCCACAGGTGGAGTTGTTAATTGTTACGGGTTTTGTTTCCATTGTTATCATAGTTACAAGATGAAGAATGGAAAACCTTGTATTTAAAATTGGCTTGAATGAAAAATTAAGAATAGATACTTCATAATTGTAAGGATTTTTTTTAAAAAATAGATATAACAAAACTATATCATCTCTATTCCCTTGATTCTTTTCAAAGGAATAAGTGCTTAACTGACTGTATATATATTCTCCTGAACGAGATATAAATAAATGATTAACAACAAAATGTTAATCTAAATATCTGAGTAAAATAAATTATTGAAAAAATATCGGAAATCTCAATCCCAAATTACCTATATAAATTTAGAAGATTTACATAAAAAATATTTTATGACAAATCATTCAAGTTCCTGAGCTTTATTCTTTCTTTCAAAGGTACTATAATTCTGAAAAATCTCAAATTAAAGGTAATAAAAGAACACTATGATAAAGTTCTGATATATGGCAATGATACTTGAATGCTAACCAGCACCCTAGAAAGAAGTATTGAAAAATTTCTACACACAATAATCAGAGTGATCCAGAATCAAAGTACTAAAGAACATAGGAGAAGAATCAATAATGAACTGCTTACAGAAACAGATCAATCAATATTTCATGATATAAGGGTTTTCATATGAAGGAAAGGAGGTTAAGATGGGCGGGTAACAGCCCAGAGCCATCCACCAAGAAGTCTCTTAAAAAAATGAATGCCTCAATAGTAGGCAAGAGACCACATGATAGTGCCTTATCTTATTCAGATCAGAAAACTGAAAATCAATAACCTAAGAAAGATAGAGTTGGAGAAGACTGGTCCAGATAGCCAAATGTCTACAAGATACGTAAAAATAACAGCAAAAAAATTATATATATATATATATATATATATATATATATATATATATATATATATGTGTGTGTGTGTGTATGTATATATATATAAAGACAACATACCTTCATCAGGATCGTCTTGAGTTGTTGAAGAAACACTATCAAATGTGAGGTTTTCTGAAAAGTTAAAAAAAAAAATACATTTTTTTCTTTTCAAAAATAGGATACATTAAAAAATCAAAAGATCAAAAATAAAAACTATTTAAAAAAATATGAATTAAAATTGAAATCTTAAATTTTATGATTAAAAATCTATAACATTCATATTTTTTTCTTTAATTTTTTTTTTAATAACTTCTCATACAAAAATATACGATTCATCAAGCATATTATTGAATTTAAAAAATCTCACCAAATAAGGGACTGTTTTCGTTCACCAGTATATCACCCAGACTGGGCCAAAGGCCATCATTATTATCAATATAACTGACGGATGTACAGTTCAGAGCTGTAAGAGAGAATGATACAGAAAATTAAAAAAAAAAAAAGGGGGGGGGGAATAAATAAAATTTGGATTAGTATTTACTTTTTGAATAATTTAAGGTGAATTATGTTAATTGACCTAGGATTATGTTAATCATGATGTTATGTTTAGGATGAAATCATAATTAAGGATGATGTTAACCTACCCATGAGCGCACCAGTTATGGACAGAGGGCCCAGTGATAGACAGGTTGAATTTTAAATGTAAGTAATAAGTAATAAGTTTCCTTGTTGATTTAAAGGCTCCAGTTTTTTCTAGGTTGAAGAACAATGCCATCTATTGACAAATGTATAAACAAAGTTTCCAAAAGAAAATTTTAAAATGCCTATCGTTGTTGTTTCTATAGCGCTCCTGAGATCAATGTGCCTCATACTGTCCCTTAACAGTTTTGCTAGGAGTAGGTTGAACATTTATGTTATCTTATCTTTGTAGTTAAATAAAAATTTAGAATTTTTCTGAGGTATGCCCATTACTGGTACCCCCTCCTGTCCATTACTAGAACAATTGAAGTGGGGTGTACATCACTAGTGAAAAAAGGTATTTTTTTTTTTTTAAATGGAGATTATATCTGCATAACTGAATATTTTTTCAATTTTAAAGTGCTAAATAGAAAAAGTAGACCCTCAAAATTCTATATGTCCAACGGAGAAGTTTAGTATTAAAACTAACACTATAACTTTTTCTATAAGATTATGTTTATTTCAAAACCTAATTATATTGTCACAATCCCAAAATTAAAATTAAATACATTCACAGTCCTATGTAAAAAAAAAAATTGTTAGTAAAGTAAAGTGGGACTATAGCGATCAAATATGTTTTTTTTATTTTTACTATTAAGGTGAAGTACAAAACTATAAATTTGAATACAAATAATTATATTAGTTATTTACTTCAATGTAGTTTCAATGGAAAATATGAGAAATTGATTGCAGCAAATAAAATGACAATACAGATAGCGTTATAAGAAAAAAAACCTTTAAAATAATAACCTATTTAGCTTCATTTCTTGCAGACATTTTGATGGGACCTGGTCGAAACAACAAATTTGGGTACTCCTAAAATAGCCACCCGTTCAGGACGAAACCTCCCTTGTTATCTAATATTACATCACATAATCTCCCTTCTTATCTCGAGTTCTTCCATTGTTTATTTTTGTTCCATTAGTGTGATTTTCGTCAAATTATATTACATTGTGAGAATTGGCGTCTTCAGAAGAAGAGGCTATCAAATATTTTCAAGACGCCGGGATAATTGTTTTGTTATTATTACATTTGCTTTCGTCTATTTAATACATATGTTGTGAAATACAAATATTTAATCCAAACTGTTTTGTTATTATTACATTTCTTTTCGTCTATTTAATACAAATAGAAATTATATATGTCGTCTATTTAATATATATATTTTTTTATTATTACATATTGTTTTGGAATAATTGTTTTGATGCCGGGATAATTGTTTTGTTACTATTACATTTGTTTTCGTCTATTTTTTTTTCACGAGCAGGCCTTAAAGATTATGCGAATACCACGAATTTAATGCTTCCTCTTCATCTGTCTCCTCTGTATTATAAAAACCCTTTATAAACTTAACAACATTCATTTTTTTTTTTTTTTTTTTTTTTTTTTTATGAAATTACTTTTTATTAATGAAATTCACATTTATTTTTTAAATTTTATAAACAGCAACCTCTCCGCAATTCACATTGAATAAAAACACAGCGCCACCAACTAACACATAACCTATAAATGTGCCCGCTGGTGAAAAAAGATTGGGGACCCCTGTTCTAGGCACAAAACATAAAACTGAATTAAAAATTTGAAATTAAAATTTTTAGAATTTTGAAAAAAAAAAACATTTATATTGTGCCGACCTAAGATAGTACTTGTGCTGACATCTGTAGGAAAAAGCAAGAACATATTCAAAGATCTAATGTACACAAGGTTTAAAAAAAAAAAAAGGGGGAGTACCCATATAAAGTATGAAGGATACCCACTTTATAGAGGCTGGGTGTGCCCCAGGAGGGTCTTACTACCCCAGGGTCGCCCCAAGGCCAATGAAACAGAATAAATAATTTTTCTGCCGGGATTCGAACCTGAGACCTTTAGCATTACACAAGGTTTATATCAAACAAATAACTCACCTGCATTTGGATTAATGGTATTCAAATAACTCGAAATCTCTTCGTCGATCTAAAAATATTTTAAAAATCATCAATATAAATACAAATAAAATTAAAATTAAATGAAGGAGATAACTAAAGACATTGAAGACAATCTTACCTGCAGCTGAGGGGCGGCTGTGGTATTCATGGTGAATGTATTATAAAGATTAGGGTCAGGTACAGTCATCTCATAATGTACAGTTCCTGCAACCATCTGAGTAAGTGTTGTAGAATCAGGAGACATTGACTCATCTGAAAAATAATAATTATAAATAAAAATAAATAAGTTTGTGATGAAAAATAAAATACAAAAAAAAAATCAGTTTGTAAAATAATTGTTAGTTTTACCTCGCAGAGGGTTGGCTAAAAATAAATTAAGTAATTGGTATTAGTTTTAAATATTCATTCTATTTCGGATTGCAATAACCAACAGATGATTGGGAGAAAAACAAAAGAGAGTTTAGAGAGAGATGGCAGAACCTAGCAAATGTTGAGGCACGCTAAGGATTTGTGTGTGTGAAATACTTTAGTTTTATGGTGTACACCGGATTTTCTTTTCCTATCCATGAACCTGTGATTATCAGCGACGTGTGCAGAACATGTATTTTATTAAGCGTGTGGTACTTATAAGAAGCCAAGACTATTTTAACATTTCGGCCAATCTCAGAGGCAAGTTTCGCTTTCTTTGGTTCTCTATTATGATCCTTTATTTCTCCTTTAGTGAATCATTAAATTCTTTCATATTTTTTTTAGCAGTTACAATGTGTATTAATTAATTATTTCAAATAAAAAAAAATTAATGATGCATTAGAAGAAGAAATTTTGAAAACTAGACATTTATAAGCCCTGTTAGAAAACATCAATGAGAATGTGACCTATATTATATTAAAAACCACTTAATTTTACACTGATGTAATGAATTTAATCAAAATCGTTAGATCCATTTTTCATAAAAATTGTAAAATCAATGATATAAAATGCCACTTCCACTTAGCCAATTACATAATTTCAGTTTCGTACAACTAATCGTATTTGAAGTAGACTATTCACACACACCCCTCTCCTCTTCCCCTCCCCTCACACACACACACCCCTTTACTCTTCTCCCCCCCCCACACACACACACAGATCTTTTGTGGGACTTCATTATTGGACTCAGGAGACCTTAAAACATGTAGTGTCATTAAAAACTCAGAGTAAAAAATTTTCAAAATTGCAATACTTTCCCATTAGGTAAGTGAAAGTAAAAATTTAAAAGATTTTTTAAAGTAAACTGCAATTCCACTCCCTCTTCCATTTATCCACATATGTTGTTAATCATCATTCATTAGAAATATTGATGATATAGTAAATTTTTTTCATAATCCTACCTTAGGAAAATTGGATAAGAGAAAACTGTAAGTAAATTCTAAAACTGTAATAGTTAATTAGAAAGTAGTGCTCTCGATCAATCTCCGCTGGCTTTAGTACCAGTGACGCGGTTGGGAGAGTAGCGCAGGGTTCTCCTGGAGTTCCCTCGCCTGATTGTATATAGGTATGCATGTGTTTTTTTGCTTATTTTTAGTTTTCTTATTTTTTAGGTTATCTTATTTTATTATCTATTGTATATACTTTTGATTATTATTTTGTTTCTATTTATTTTATTTTTTTTGTACATATAGTGTGAATGTCATCCTACCTCACTATAACAAATGTCCAAGAGACAGATTGTTATAATACTCAATAAAGAAATAAAAAAAAAAAAAAAAAGAAACAATTATAATCAAATAACAACTACTTAAACTTTTACTGCAATTTTTTTTACCTTTAATTTTTTTCGAGTTATATTTAGAGAGCACAGACGGTAGATACTCTTCCTGTAACAATGAAATTTCAATTACTACAAATTGACTCATAAAAAGTCTTAAATAAGATTTATAAGTAATATTCTAAAAATATCTGTTACATATTTTTAAAAAATTAACTAACACAAATTAATATTGAATTACGGAAATGAAAAGTAAAAATTTTGACAAATACAAAAAAAAAAAAAAACTTTACTTTTACCCAAAATTTGTAATAAATTTGATTTATTTTTCAACATAAGCATCTACAATAAAGGTTGCTTATTTTATTATAATTTTTCTTTTTAATATAAATCCGATTTAGTTTTAAGAAAAACAATATAAAATTACAACAAGAAGTGAAATCAGGCAGAAAATACTGTGGAAGGATACATAATATCATAATGTTAAATAAATATTAAGTTTAAAAAAATGTATGGATTATATACAAATTGTTTACCTCAGAAGAAATTTCTGGTGAGTGGGGTCTTTTTCTGGCCATATCTAAGCGAAAAAAAATATCAAATATTAAACTATATATAGTGATTTGTGGCATTTTTATATATATATATATATTTTAAAATAGATATTACAATTAATTGATAATATGTTGGTATTATTTTAAAAAATAATATTGACTATTTTATATTTCTAAAGTTTTACCAAGTAGCATCTTATTTTAATTATTCAACAGTTAGAGTAATCCGCATCGAAAATGTTGGTGTAATATAAAGCGAAAACGTGAAGCGTAATATTTCATCTCATGAGAAATTTTTTAAAATTAAATATTGAATTTAATAGTAATAATGGAATTTTTGGTACTAGTTCACAAGAGTTCCGCACGGATTACGCGTGGTTCACAATCACTTCGATCACACTTGTTCATGGAATCCCGAAAACAGCCGAATGTTGTCGTCTTTTATGACGTCAGCTATTGCCCCATAATACAATCCCTTTTCATGCATTTTTGAAAAAAATACAACGTATTCCCTTTATGGAACTTCCTTATTAAAAAATTGTGTATTTACTAATTACTTAATTATTAATTTTTATTATAACGGTTATTACTTTGAAAGAAAAAGAAAAAAATACATAAAATAATGTTTGAGTAGTTTCTTCAAGCCCTATTAAAAAAAAAGCTTTTAGTAATAACATTTTTATTGACAGGTGCTTACATTTAGTGTCTGTAAATACGCATATACTGTATATTATCTTTTATAACTGTGTATAAAAGATTTTTTTATCATTTGGATAATAAATAATTTTAAGTTATCTATTATCTTTTTTTTTTGTTATTCGAGTTTTTCAATAGAAGTTCGAATAATTTATTTTAACAAGCCTTTTTAGAAATGCGCAATCGTCTATCTAGTTTATGTATTTTTTTAGATTTCTAATAATACGAGAGGCTATTTTCTAGTGGAGGGAGGCGCTTTGTATGCATATACTGTCTGATTTGTAATTATGATGTGTAATTATTGTTATTCGCAGTTATTTTTCTTGGTAATCTGAAAAAAGGAATTATTGTAGGCTATGGTACAAAAAAAAGTGTTTATTTTCGAGAAAGTTATTAACGTATTTGGGAAACAACTGACGAAGAATATGTAATAATTCCAAGATAATGAATATTGGAAATCATCTATAAGAAAAATAATATCGTGAAATAGCAGCCAGAGATGTAATAATTAAAGATTTTTATGTATTACTATTTCTTTTTTACAGATCTATAATATATGTACAAGCTCAATTCAGGTTTCATGATGTGTAGCCTAAATTTCGAATGTAAATCTGCTCCTGCTATATAACTGAACGTGGTTAAGGTTAAAGTACTTAAATGGCGAGAAAGTTAATAGTAACTGGCCCAAGAGATTGGTCGCCTTCGTTCTCTTTCGGAGAAACACGAACGCATTCGGGATTCCAGGAACAAGTGTGATCGAAGTGATTGTGAACCATGCGTAATCCGTGCGGAACTGTTGTGAACTAGCACCGAATTTTTAATTGTAAAGAATGTTAATTTGAAGTATGAAGAAGTTTAAAATAAAACTAAACATAACCTTACAGAGGTTTAGTATTTGACTGATTAAGTTAGGTTGACAATGGCAATTCAGTCCAATTGTTTTAATAATTTTTTTTTTTTTTTTGCTGGGATAATTTTTTTATTTGTTAAAGGTTTCTTCCCTTTAAAATGGCCTAAGGGCTGAAACATCGGTGTGTAAAATAAAAATAAACTAGAACTGCTATGTATGTTTTTATTTTTATATAGTATTAGTTTTGGTGACAATGTTAGAAAAATCACCATATAACATACAGAAGTATACCATATTATAAAAAATAAAATAAATATATAATAAACATTACTAATCAACTCACCGTTACATTTATAATCCTCATGAGGTTTATATGTGAAAGGAAATGGATCACTGACAGCACCATCATTTGTTCGATGAAGTTCAAAGAATACTTGGGCGTCTTTTTCAATATTTTGTTCAAATTTAGGAGTTCTATAGAAGAAATGACATTTACATTAATTTTATACCATGTGGAGATCTTATAAAGAGTTATATTTTATTAATACTAGATTTTTCACAATGCAGTTTAATAAATAAATAAAAAATTATTCAATATACTGACCTGAAGACAATACCCAACTGATGATGAACATGTTGTGGACCATAAATGGCAAGTGCTTGCCAAATTCTTTTTTTGTTATTGTCAAGTCTGAAGAATCTGACTTGAACATCTAAAAAAGCAAACATATAAATAAAAATATTTTATTTTTATAAGCATTAAAAATATATATATGTAATATAAAACTTAGCTCTTATGATAGAACAATCAAGATATGTAGCACTGTATTTGTTAATAAATAAAAAAATATTACATGTATTATACTTGATATTAGTTTTAATAAATAGAATAACGAACCTTTAGAAATTTTTTCAACGAAAATAAATACTTCGTCGTTCCCCCTACATGTTCCAAATGTTCGACTGCAGTTAACAATTTTTAATGCGCCTGTTTCCGCATTATCTAAAATTAAAAAAAAAATTGATAAAGAGATATTAAATAAGTAAAACAAATGAGGTGTTATAAAATCTATGAAAGTTCAGATGCACAAATAAATCAGCATGCAGTAAATAAGATATGTAATAATGTAACTTAAAGTAGAGTAAAACCCCAGAGTACAGAAAAAAAAATTAATAAAGATACATTAAATAAGTAAAACAAATGAGGTGTTATAAAATCTATGAAAGTTGAGATGCACAAATAAATCAGTATGCAGTAAATAAGACATGTAATAACGTAACTTAATCTTAATCTTGAAGATATAATAAGACTTTAAATATAATAAGACAACAGAATAACTTAACCTATTTGAATAGTGTAAACAAATAAAAATTTATCTTTCACTTTCAAACTGTAACTAACTTTTAAGTTTTAAAAACCAAATTTTAAATCATGTATCACAATTAGCTATATAATTTACTGAAATAGTAGAGATTATATCTGTACCGTAGAGATAAAGGACGCCATGTCACATTTTTTTATTTGTTTAGGGAGCCAATTTTCTATAACTTTGAGCTATTAAAATTTGTTTCTTACTTATTAAATTATTTAATTAAAAAATGAACATGGTGTAATTTACCACTGGGGCACAGATATGAAATTATTTAGAAATGTAATTGATTAAATTAAGAAATTAAATTTTAAACATCATAAAATAACTTTGTCATAACTTTTCTATTAATAAAAATTAAATTTTAATAAAGTAATGGGTATTTTATCCTTCTCCATTTCTCCTTAAAATCTATCAGGCATTGGACCAGCAATATTTTGGATAAATTTCTAAAGCAATATTTTATAGTCTCTTATCGAAAAATAACATCAAATCTATAAACCGAATACATTACTATTGGGTCTCTTCATTCACCTTTAAAATTTCTTCCACATGGTTTAACTCTCGACTATACGAAGAGCAATGAATGTATTAAATAAAGTAATTTTAAAAATCAAGAAAGGCTGCCTGCTTCATAATCGCTTAGCACAATAAAACGCATTTTATTATATTGTTGCCTTACCTCAAAAACCTTGTAAGACCATTAAAATAAAATTTACACAATGAAAAAATATTTTAATTAGAAAAAACAGGACTACAGAAATTGGGAAATTTTATCCATCCTGAGGAAATGTACTTCATTATCTACTGGAACATCTTGGTAGATTGGCAGAAAGAACCACTAAAGGCCCACTTGCCGGATTAGTTCCCCCAATCAGTACCAGTACCAATATGATAAGAGACCGGACTACTAAACCGAGTTTAAATATTTGTACATGTCAATTTCCATATCAATCTAGCAAGATGTTTCAGTAGATATGGAAGCACATTTCCTCACAGTGGATAAAATTTCCAAATTTCTGTAATCGGTTTTTTTTTTAATTAAAATATTTTTTTATTTTTACATTTTTAGTTTTTAAAATATTAACAATTCATTTTCATAACATATATGATCACATGATATCATTTCAAATAAATTAATAATAGAGATATTTAAACTATAATAATTTTTTTTTCTCGTGGTTTGAGAGAACATTGATCTAACTACGTAATTACAGCCTCAACATTAAAAAATCAATCAAGCTATCAGCTAAAAAAAAACTTTACATAACTTTATAAATTTTTAAAAACAATTTGCACCGTAATTTGACAGAATTTTCAGCTCAAATTATTTCAAAACGCTCAAGGAATCTCACCAAATAATTTGAGCAATCGAACTCAAAAATCGATCCACCCATTCGTACCAAAGAACGTTAACAAAGCTTTTAGCTGACATTCTGAAAACATTACTACCCTCAATGTCATTTTGCTTTCTAAACACTTACGGAACCTCGCGAATAATATAATTTATCAAACAATATATCCAGCCATTCACTCAAAAAAGCGTTGCAAATTGATAAAATACATTTTGTTTAATAACGGGTCATTATTTTTAGCTCAAATTGTTTTAAAAAACTCAAGGGATCACATAGAATAATTTGAGAAATCGATCATAAAAATTTATTATGAAGGTTTTTGCAAATTGATTAAATACATCAATACATCTTATTTAATGGCGGGTCAGTATTTTTAGTTCAAATTGTTTTAAAACACTTCAAACATAATTTTTTCTGGTTCATTGAAAAATCCTTAACATTGTTAAAAACATAACACCACACTACATAAGTAATTAAGCATTAGTTCTTAATACAAATTAAGTATTTTAATGAATAGGACTCACAAGATTTTAAAAGTAAGTCATTGATATGTTATTAATAATTATATTACTTACGTAAATTTTTTATTTTATCTGATACAATAGACTGGCATATCTTAGTTCGAGTCTGCTCATCAAAAACTTGGATATAAAAAAGAGATTGATTTTTGTCAATTTGTTTTATTTCATCTTTCTCTTCTTTGCTAGAAGCTGGTATCTATACAAAAAATTTTATGTGAATGCAATGAAATAATAAACATACTAAATAGTACTATCAAATGATTAAAATAACATACCGACATAGGAGGATCAAAAAGATCACTGTCGATGTGAGCTTTCTTCTTACGATAAACATTAATATCACTTTCATCATTTGTTACCGCATGAACTATGTGTAAATAATCCAGACTGGAAAAAAATACAGACTATTTACATTTACTATGATATTATAAACTCTATATTATAAAATCAGAAAAACAAGTCATTTTGGTTTCTTATATTCAATAGTAAACCTTTTTAACTGATGGAGTTTTAAATTTCAAGATAATTAAATAGATTTAAAAAATCGAATAATAATAAAAAATAAAAAAAATGGTCCTCTCCATGATCACTAGGTTGATTTTAATCTGATTTAGTTCATAAGTTACAGGTCATTCCGGGATGATTCACAGAATTCAATATTGCCATTATGTATCAAAATAGCAGACAGAGATTGAATATGTCCAAACCTCAACCATTTACAAAGATTATTGCAAAATAATAGGTGTTAGAAAATCATAATACAAAAGATTAAAAAAAGGTAAAATAGTGAATTACTTTTATGTCCATTATCTTTGAGAATTTTTTTTTTAATTTTTATTACTGTTATTATGGACAATTTTAGAATTTGAAGTAACTTCCCTTGCTAATCATAAAATTTTCTCAACACTGAGAAAAAAAAAATGCATGAACAAAAATAATTTATTTGCTCATAACTTAAAAATTCCACACACATGCAGGCATACACAATATAAGTAAATCTAGCAGTGATTTTTGTAAATCTAGCAGTGATTTTTACAGATGTTCATTAAAAATATATTATTTGTAAAAGTTTAAATAATAATCATTATTTGTTAACTTTAATAGCATAATATTTTTGAATGTCAAAAGTTAAAAAAAGAAGAAAGTTTATCAAAAGATCTGGATGGCTGTGAAATTTCAGTTGTTCTCTATTAATTTCTCATTCATTCTCCAGATGCTCATTTAAAAGATTATTTAATTGTCTACTATACTTGAACTAAAAGGAAAATAAAAAATCGTAGGGCAACACACAAGATATTGATGGTATATAAATGTTTGGAAATTAACCATTATGAAATAATTTGCACCACTTTTTATTTTTGTGTCAAAAACTGTAAGTTAAGGTAAAAGGTTTATCAGAAATATTGGAGTATTCAATTAAAATTTCCTATTGTATCTTACTACAGAATACACTTAAGTTTTAACAGAATATAGCAGTTTGCTTTAAAAATGTTTAAGTCTGGTTAATTCACAAAGAAAAAATTAATGGCATTAATAAATAAAAAACTTAATTATTAACATTTTAAATTCGAAGAAATTGGAGAGAAAAAAAAACAGTAAAATCTTTATTAAAAGGAATCTGGATTAAATCAGCGAATCAAAAGCCACTGTTCCACATTAATTTATAACAAAGATAATGATAATTTATAACAAGGTAATGATGAAAAACAGAGTTGAATAAACTAATTTCACAACTCTTTGAACTTTTAATCAATCTTCCGTTAATTACAGAAGTTTATAAGATTAATAAGTTTTAAGAAATTCTATCAATGCATGGAAAAAGAGTGCATAATACAGTATTATTTAACTAATATAAACTAATAAAATTAAATAGTAAAAATTTGTATCCTTGTAATAAATAGATTTTATCTGAATAAATAGGTATTTATATCAAAGAATTTAAACTTTTGAAAGCACTTTTCTTAAGAAAAGAATCAACTTAATACGCTTCAGTGTGATTGATTTGAAATTTAAAAGTATTGAAAAATTATGTTGACATTTTACAAACAACTAAAGACTATTACATGATAACAAGTTATTAGCTAATAAAAACTAAAATAGTAATGATATTGTTTTGTTTAATGAGGGTTTTAAATCAATGGTAAACCTAAAGAAAGTTATGTGATAAACATAAATGTCCGCTAATCAGCTAGAAGGTGAAATACATCATCCCCACCCTAGTAAAATTCATTTCCAAATGAAAAATTAAATAACATCAAAAGAAAACATATACACCTCATTAAGATCGAAAATTAACTTATTATAAACTGTAACAGACAATAAAGCAAAAACACAGAAAAAAGTAAACAGTATCATAAATGACAAACTCAATGAATAAAAAAATAGCATAAATTTACATTACATGCTTCGAAAATAATCATAAGAAAATTGAAATTTTTTCAGCATAATAATTATCCATGGCTCAATTAGCAAAGCAGAAATACTTACGTTACTTCATAATTGTTTTCTTCACATGCTCGGAAGTCATGTGGCTCTACCTTCAATACTCCCTTAGGAGGTTTACGTGCCAGTTTATGGAAGTGAGCACGAGGCTTATCAAGCTGAGTACTTATAAGCCAAACTCGGACAATTGCAGAACCATTGTAATGGTTAAGCTATAACAAAAAAAAATAATAATAAGTGAGCATTAGGTACGAATATCCATATAAGATTGTTTTAAATAAAAAAAATAAAATACAAACCTTAAGCTTCGGAAATTTGCATAAATCTTTCTTTTTGGTGGCAGGAGAGCTAACTCCAACTATATGACCGTGATATTTTTCTTTCAAATACCTGTACCGATAATCGGCAGGCTGTTCGGTAAATTCGATCCATGGCCCTGAAAATAACAACAATAATGATGCGAAAATATATTATCGTCAACAAAACCAAACTAGACTGATTAAGTAATACCTTTGTTATGATCAAACTGAGGCCAATTTATATTATGCTCAGGAGAAAACTGTGGATCTGAGCAATAGCCCAGAGAACCATTGTCATCTGAAAAATGATTAAATACATATATCACTAATGGTCTTGATAGTTTAACTACTCACATAAATGAAGCTAATGTACCGAAATCATAATTCATGATCAAAGATAATATGTTAAACTGTAACAATAACTTAAGTAAATTGATCAACACAAACGCCTTTCTGCCACTAAACAAAAGCTAATATGTCATACGTCAGAAGTTATCAGACTGGAGATAACTGTGAAGTACACAACTCTTGTGAATCTTCGAGGTCAATTAAAAGTTTAAATATATAATGACATAAGAAAAAGAATACACAATTACTTTCTTTGGTTTTCTGATTCTTCTTTCCCATTTTTGAAACGTCTAAATATAGTATCAACTGATAATGTTCAGAAACATCAGCAAAAGCAAATTTGAAGTAAACAGAACTTTGATGGATCGATACAACATATAATCGATTGTTAGTACCGATAGAAAATATAATGACCGGTTTCGCTTAAGGAAAACCCGGCTGTGAATTACAGCATCCGAATCTGTCTCTTAAATAATTACTGATTAATTGACTGGTATTTCTAGCCATTGGGAAAAGGAATATCAAATTTACACTAATCCTTTATCAACAACTTTTCATACTCGAAAGTCTTAACGATTGATAATATATTTTTCAATTCCGTACGATCAGGAATGGAAATTCTCCAAGTTTCCCATCACGACAATTAAATACCTCTCAGGAAATTCAACGCGATTCAATTTTCCTTCTATGCCCTAATTAAATGCTATTCGACTAGTAATTTATTCATGTTTGTCAGTATAGCGTTCTCTAAATTCTGGTTTACTCTTTATGACTCATTGTTTGTTTAAGGTACCTCATATGTTAATAGAAAACTTTTAGTCTTGTCAATTCGGAATGAAATCGGAAAAAGAATGGATAGCCGATACTGAAAAAAAAAACTAATTTCATCCTTTTGTTAAAAAATAAAATTATTAAGATTTAAAACACACAAAAAAATTTACTATTTAACTATGTCACGATAGCAAATAAACATTGCAAGGTAGTTCACATACCCACAGTTTATGATAGCATTCGAAATTCATGCAATTTATTCATTGACGAAATCAGAGTAAATCGGACTAAACTTATTTCGAACATTCCCTAATGTGTTACAGTTCTTCTCGAAGAATATAATAAGTCTTAGAAAGGAAAAGAAAACAGAAAAGAGTACGTGAATACAATTTTTCAAAACGAAGTAAGAAAAAGTATGACTAGGTGATGACCAGATATGTCATTGCTACTTTGAGTACTGAGTTCCAAATACTTTACTCAAATAGTGACCTTTTTTATAGTACTAAAGAATTTAATTACTACTTAGTTTATGTAAAACGATTGACTAAAATAGTGATTGAATTCGCAATAGTGATGCATTCTGGGTAGTTGAATAGAATTTTCCCATCTCTGGTGATGATCCACTCTAAATCTAATATGCCAATTAATATTACCAGCACATCTCTATAGTTTTATATTCTAATTAATACTATTTCAGCTTTTATTCTGCTTAATCGGATTGCTTTTATTTATTCAAAGAAACCAAACACTATTATTAATGTGAACAAATGATGGAAAGACGCTCAACTTGCCAAGGCGAAGGAAGGAGAAATATTGACAACGGTAGAATATTTTAAATAGTTATTACCTACTGCGACTATATGTTTAACTTTTAAAATAGTCTTGACATAAACACTGATATCACACATGCTGGATTTTTAAGCAAGTTAGCCAGATTAATATTTTTGGAGGATCAATGTTTCGCATTGATAAAAGTATTAAAGATAGATTCTTGGAATAATGTCTTCTATTGATTCATAACTAAATCACAAAATATAGTGGCAACTTCCTCACAATTTTTGCCAAAAGAATCCATTTGTCAACATTAGAAAAGGTGCCCTTAGATTTGAAAATAGTTGACCTATCTCTGAATCAATGAACCGATGCCTTTGTAAATTAATATTAATTTTCTGAAATCATGTAACACTTACAAATATAAATACCCAGTGAAAACCCTCACACATCCTTTCATCCAATGCATTCTACGTATTAGCGATAACAGCGGAACATGTTTATTCCTGTAAACAAAAAAATATCAAGATAGGATATTCTATACAAAAAACTGTAGTCCGTGGTACAGATCCCTTTTTATCAAATTATTAACATCCGCCTGAAACTTCGTTAATAGCTTCAGCTCACTGTAACTTACAAATATTTTATAAGAGAAAATCTCGGGATGGGATGTTTTCAATCTATCTATCTAAAATAGGCAACCTTTGGATATTTAATTAGGTACTAAAAACTCATGAATACCCATTTCCTTTCAACTTGAATCGTAAGATAATATGATTGCAAAGTTGGAAAAAAAGCTGATCTACAAAAATATTGGTCCTCCACTTCCACCACGATAAAGTTAAAATAACGAGGTTATATAGGCCAAACGCCCCAATATTTTTGTAGACCATTTTTTTTTTTCAACTTTGTGATGAAATTATCTTACGATTTAAGCGAAAAGCAAATGGCATTCGTGAGTTTTTAGTATCTAATTTAATAGACAAAGTTTTCCGATCTCCAGATTGAAAACACACCAATTCCGATCATTTTCGTAAATAAAATATTTGTAGGTTACGATGAGATGAATTTATATACGAAGTTTCAGGTGGATGTTAATAATTTGATAAAAAGGAGTCTGAACCACGGATTATTAAGATAGCTTCATGCTTAACTAAGACTGTTAAAGTAACAATTATTTAATAATTGATTAGCTTGTCCCACTGGAAAATATCCATCCAGCTTAGAAGTTATACAATAAGACCCAACTATCTCTGAACTTATACTAATCCTGAATCTACTTGTCCAATGACGATGATGTTAATATGAATCTTTTCTTTGGGCATTTTTTAGCAATTTCTATAATAATTACCCTATAACAATGATTATACTAATCCATTATTACATTTGTCGAAGATCACTTACGGGTCTACGGGCTTTCGGGCTAAAATCCACCCCAAAATAGGGAAATATATCTATTCCTTACGAAAAAAATTATCTCTAAAAAGTATTATTGTTTATTAATTACATTTAATAGGACTTCAAGAATCACTTAAATACCATATCTCGTTGGTAGTTAATTTCTTCCTCTTTCTTTCGAAGTAATTATCGTCATTATTATAGAAAAAAAAATCTTTCTAGCTGAAGCCTCCATTACCAAAATTAATTCCTGGATTCGCTAGTGTTCAAGACCTATTCTTTTGTTGCAGAAGAATCTTGGTTTATAATTCTCTCCCTTACTAAGAGTATGGAAGCCATATATGAATATAAATTTTATTTATTATTAATATGAAAAAGGTTCTCTCTATATTATCCATAGTAACAAAAGGATTGTTGAACTATTCTTCGTTTATATTTTCAAGAGAATTTTTATTTGTCAAATACTTTCAAATAGTAATATTTCAATTTGTAAAACGTAAAATTATGACAAGTATCTCATGACAACCATAATGTCTCGGATCCGTCGACGTTTGAAACTTTCGAAACCTCCAAAATTTTCAATTACTTTTACTATATATGTCGTTCTAAAATTGAAATTCGTCACTTTCCATAAAATTCTCTTTCGTTAGATGCCTCATTCATCAAAATCCATCGCCCAAAAGAGATTATACAGTGTGCCCTCAGTTCTTAATCACCAAACTCTGGAAGATGATTCTAGACAAATTTTCCAAAAAAAAAAAAAAAATTCATTGATATACGGTCTGATTTCGAAAAGGAAAGGAGTTAAGCCCAATTTTGTATTTTCTTAAGTTGGTCACGTTTTCTATCTCCTAGGAAGCTATAACACAATCATTTCATTCAGGTAATTCAATTTTTTTTCTTAGTGAACTAGACAAAATTTCCTTCATATACAACTAGAGTTTTGTCTTTGTTAAATTTTAATTGTTAAATTAAAACCATTTAAATGGGATTTTTCAGCGCCCAAACTACGCTAAGTTGTTATTTATTAAATCATGGATTACTTTTTTTTTGCGATGTTTTTTTTTCATCCAACAGATATTCCACTTTTGTTAAAACAATCCTTGTTTAATAAGATTTAATTTCATATCAATATGTTTTAGGTTTATTAAAGAGTGAAGTTGAGATCTATCTCAATGTGTGTGAAAAAATACGTGATTTGATATTCACTCGCCAAAGAGTACCCGCATTTCCAGCATAATAACCAAGAAACTATTGCAATGATTTCATTCCTTCTTTTTCTTGTGACCTGACATCTATTAGTAAATTAATTTAAAAAAATAATTTTTATTCATTAAAAAAATACTCATTTTTTTTTTTAAAATATTATCTGAGGTGATAATGACCCATTATTTATAACACAAATATAATTGGTTAAAGAGAATTTTTTTGTTGGCAATTTTGTCTATAACCATCCCCCAGAGCTCGGCCATTAAGAACTAAAGACATCCATCATATAGTGTAGATTTTTCCTATACTAACTTGATAAAAAGAAACATATTGTGATCAAAAGAGATGGATTCATTGACTAGCTAGTCAAAGATTGCTGATATATCTTAGTCCGTGTTGCAGACCCCTTTTTATAAAATTATTAACATACGCCTGAAACTGAGTAAATAGCTTCATCTCATTGTAACCTACAATTTTATTTACAAAAATTCTCGGAACTAGTGCGTTTTCAATCTGAAGATCGTCAAACTTCGTCTATTTAATTAGCTATTAAAAACTCGTAAATGCCCATTTGCTTTCCACTTGAATCGTAAGATAATTTGAGCACAAACTCGAGAAACAGTGAGGCCTTCAAATATATTGAGCCGTTTGGCGTGACCTACAACCCCAAAATGTCCAAAATGGTTGTTTAGGCCAAACAGCCCAATATTATTGAAGGCCGTATTCTGAGATTAAATTATCTTACGATCTAAGTGGAAAGCAAATGGATATATACGAGTTTTTGGTAGCTAATTAAATAGACATAGTTTGCCTACCTCCAGATTGAAAACGCCCCAATTCCAAGAGTTTTCGTAAATAAAATAGTTGTAGGTTACGATAAGATGAAACTGTT